TTCTTTTGGCTGTCACAAGAGGGCAACCTTGGCCTGCTTGCTGACTTATAGCAGGAGAGTCCCTAGTGGGGAGGGGGCAGATAAAAGGGAAGGGGAGCCATATTAATGGAGGTACCCTCTAACCTACATATCTGAGTGGATCATTGGCAAATCCCGCCCCTCCTCCCCCTACCTTTGCTTAGCTAAGAAGTCATTAGAATATTCCTTCAGACTGGGAGTCAGACTGCCCTAAATTTCATCTGCAGGTTTTGAGGGGAAGGGGAGGAACAGAGCATAAATTCTGAGACTAGGAAAAGATTAATTGCATCTCAGGGACAGAAACCTAGCCAGGGCAGAGGAGGAGGGCTGGGACTGGGAAGTGCCCCCTTCTCTAGAATATTCCCCTTTGGTATATCCAACCTCATCCTCCGTTTTCCTACTCCTTTCCCCAATATCCTGACTCCACCACCATCCACTGAAAAGCTATCACTGACAAGTAGGTAAGCCAAAGAACTTTGGGAACAGCAGAAGCATCCCCCCTCCCAGACCACTGGCCCTACTTCCAGCCTGGCCCCCCCGAAGCCATAGTCCAAGGAAACCACCTCGGTGACAACTTCCTTGGCCTGTGCCATTCCCTTCCCCACCCTCCCCCACCCCCAAGTCATAACTGCAGAAGACTTGGAAAAGTAAGTTCTTAGCCCCAAAGTCCTCATCACTGTCCAATGGTTCTGCATCAGAAATGCATATCCATAAAAATGGCATTAAAGAAAAGGTATTACCATTTCCTTGGCTGCTGCACCCTGGAGACCATGAAACCTTTCCATCTGTCTAGCAGCTGAAACCTTCCATATATGTGGTCTCTCACCCTCTTTGAATACCAGCTCCTTGAGAGCAGTGATTATTTGGATTTTTTCACTTTGTACCCCTAAGCCTTAGCAAGTGCTTTGTACATAGTAGATGCTTAATAAATGATTTAACATTCACTCATTCAATTAGAAATTCACTCTATAGAAGAGCAAGGAATAGTTTACCTGTCAGATCTGTGCAGAAGGGAAGAATTTATGACCAAATAAGAGATAGAGAACATTATGGAATGCAAAGTGGATAATTTTAATTACATTAAATTAAAAAGTTTTTGCACAAATCCAGTGCCATCAAGATCAGAAGGAAAGCAAAAAGCTGAGAAACAATTTTTACAGCCAGTGTCCCTGATAGAGACCTTACCTCTAAAATATATAGAGAACTGAGTCAAATCTATAAGAATACAAGTCATTCCCCAATTGATAAATGATCAAAGGATATGAACAGGCAGTTTTCAGATGAAGAAATTAAAGGTATCTATAGTCATATGAAAAAAAATATTCTAAATCATTATTGATTAGAGAAATGCAAATTAATACAACTCTGAGGTACCACATCATACCTATCAGATTGGTTAACACGACAAAACAGGAAAATAGTAAATGTTGCAGAAGATGTGGGAAAATTGAAACACTAATGCATTGTTGGTGAAGTTGTGAACTGATCCAACCATTCTGGAGAACTAGCACTATGCCCAAAGGGCTATAAAAATGTGCATACCCTTTGATCCAGCAATACCACTTCTAGGTCGGTATTCTAAAGAAATCATTAAAAAGGGAAAAGGACCCACATGTACAAAAATATTTATAGCAACTCTTTTTGTGGTGGCCAAGAATTGGAAATCGAGGGGATGCCCATCAATTGGGGAAGGGCTGAACAGACTATAGTATATGAAAGTAAAGGAATACTATTGTTCCATAAGAAATGATGAGCAGGCAGATTTCAGAAAAACCTGGAAAAAATTACATGAACTGATGCTGAGTGAAGTGAGCAGAACCAGGAAAACACTGTACATAAGAACAGCAACATTGTGTGATGACCAACTTTGATAGATTTAGTTCTTCTCAGTAATGCAGTGATCTAAGACAATTCCAAAAGACTTATGATGGAAAATGCTATCCACATCCAGAGAAAGAACTATGGAGTCTGAATGCAGATCCAAACATATTATTTTTTCTTTCTCGTAGTTTTTCCCTTTTGTTCTGATTCTTCTTTACAACATGACTAATGTAGAAATATGTTTAACGATCATACATGTACAGCCTATATCAGATTGCATGCTGTCTTGGGGGGGGAATTTGGAACTCAAAATCTTACAAAAGTGAATATTGAAAACTAAAAATAAATTTAAAAATGTATATATGGTATAATAATTTATTCACAGAATTTGCTTTTTCTTAAATTTTATCATAGTTGTGTCCCTTTCACTCACACTGTCGCTTCCCTAATGCAGGTCTTAATCAGCCCTAAACTAGACTAGGGCAATAGCCTCCTAATGGTTTCTGGGCCTCCAGTCTCCCCATTCAATTCATCTTGCATCCCCTTGCTGTCTGTGTAATCTTCCAGTATATTTTCCTGATCATGTCGCTTCTATACACAAAAACGTTCAGTAGTTCCCTGGCACCCACGGGATAGACTATAAATACCTTATCCTGGCATTCAAGGCTTTCTGAACTCTGATGCCTCCTTATCTTCCCAGTCTTCTCTCTCACTTCCCCATTTATATGTAGTGTTCTGTTTCAATCTGACCAGAAGACACTGTCCATAGAACCACCCACAGACCACTTTGTTCTCAGTGCCTGCTTCTCTATCCCTGCCATAGACGTCTAACCATCCTACAGAACCTAGCTCAAATGTCTCCTCTTTCATGAAGCCTTCTTTGATTCCCCGACTAGCCAGAAATGATGCCATGGTACAGCGGAAAGAACACTGGGCCTGGAGTAAAAAAAAAAAAATGGATTTGAATACTAGCTCTAGCTGTATGACCGTGGGCAAATCCCTTAGTGGTTCTACGCCTTAGTTTCTTCATCTGTAAGATGGGTGTAAAAACGCTGACATGGAGTAGAAAGAATACTGGATTTGGACTCGGGAGGATCTGGGTTCAGATCTTACCTCTTGCTCCTGACTCTCTGTGTTTGATCATAGGCAGATTACTTCACCTCCAGAGGTGTCTCTATAAAGTCAGTGAGTTGGTTTAGTGGGCCTCTAAGCTCCCTTCCAGAATCTATAAGCAAAGTGTTTGTTGAATGAATGGATTGATGGATAGATGAATGAACGCCACTCTTCTTTGCTTCTCCCCATTCTGACTCTCACATCTAGAATTACTGAAGTCCCTGAGAATTGTCCCATGTTTGTCCCATACAATAATCCCAGTTGGAGGTAAAGTGGTAAAGAGCATAAAATCTCCTAGAGATTGTATAATGTGCATATGGGCAGCTAGGTGGCACAATGGCTAGGGTGCTGGAGTTGGGAAGACCCGAGTTCATATCCGGGTTCAAACACTTACCACCTATGTCACTTAACCTTTGTTTGCCTCAATTTCCTCAACTGTAAAATGAGGATAATAATAGCACCTACCACCCAGGGCTGTGAGGATCAAATGAGATAATATTTGTAAAGCACTTAACCCAGAGCCTGGCACATAGTAGGTGCTATATAAATGCCAGTTATTATTCTTTTGGGGGGGGGGGGCTAGGCAATGGGGTTAAGTGACTTGCCCAGGGTCACACAGCTAGTAAGTGTTGTGAGTCTGAGGCCAGATTTGAACTCAGGTCCTCTTGAATCCAGGGCTGGTGCTTTATCCACTGCACCACCTAGCTGCCCCGATGCTACTTATTATTAGTGGTAAGAATGTTGGATTTGAAGTCAAGGACATAGGTTTCAATCCAAGATCTGATACTTATATCTGTGCAAACTTGGGAAGGTCACTTCTCTACATCTCAGTTTCCTCATTAATAACATGAAGTTGGGTTAGTCTACCTCAGAGAGCCCTCCCGGCTCTAAATTTGTGATCTGATGGTCATAATTCCTAGAAAACAAGAAGCAGGCTGCTGAAGGGTCAGTTGGAATGTTGTAGTGGGGATTCTTGGTGGTGTGTGGGCTTGGATTAAGACCCAGCCAAGGTCTCTTAACACTTTGTGATTCTCTTTGACTCTATGAGGCATGGGAGTCCCTGCCTCCTCCTCCATCAATCAATCAATCAATCAATCAATTAACAAGCATTTAAGGACTTAACAATATACCTGGGCTGTGCTAGGCACTGGAGATACAAATACCAAAGTGAGTTAGTTCCCGCCCTAGAGGAACTCATATTCTATTAGAGGAATAGAACATGCCCAAGGTGAGTAAATAAATGATCTGTCCCCTGGAGTTGGGCTTTTCTTTTGGGACGTGGGATGAGCAGACTTCCTGAGTCTGGGCTCCCAGGATTGTTTTGGGGAAGGAAGTGTCTGGAATTGGGAACACGCAGACCTCCTCCTCCTTCTCTGTGCCCCACCTCATTACCCACCATCCAACAGTGTTCTCTCTTTGTCTCACAGGATTGAGTCCATTCCATTCTGCTCACCCACACACCAAGGGAGATTGCATACTGTCTAAGGGGGAACCTTGGTCTTCACCTATCTCCCCACCTTGAGTACAATGCTGGACACACAGCAGATATTCAATAAAGGTTTGAATCTTCAATGTTAGGTCTTTGATGATGAAAGTGAAAGGCTACTAATAGCATTAACTCAGGCTTCTTATAGTCCTGTAAGGCTGACCAAGTAAGTGCTTTCCCCACAAGAATCTTGTATGGTCAGTAGTGCCACCATTTATTTACTTATCCAGCCTCAGACACTTACTAGCTGTGTGACCCTGGGCAAGTCACTTAACTGTTTGCCTCAGTTTTTTTCATCTGTAAAATGAAGAGGAGAAGGAAAGAGCAAACCACCCCAATCGTGTTTGCCAGGAAAACCTCAAATGGGGTCATAAAGTACAGTCAGACATGACTGAAAAGGACTGAATAATCACAGCAAACTGGGTCCCCTCTTCCTCCAACCGCCCCAATTGACCCATCCTCAACTGTCCAGCAGGTGGCAGCAGAACCGAAGAGGCCAGTGGGCGGGTGGGGCAGTGGGCGGGATGCCCCCCCGGGGCTTCCAGCTCAGTGCTCAGCATCCCAGAGCTTTCAGTAGCCTGGGTCGGCTTCTTTCTCTCTACTCTCCTCCTCCTTCTCTTTCTGTCCCTTCTTCTTCGCCCGATCTGCCTGGCCCAGCTCTGCCTGCCCCTGCAGGGGCCATGACCATCAACGCCCTCCACCAGGGGGGCAGCTACAAAGTCCAGATGCCATGCCTGAGTAAGGTAAGAGGGACAGGGAGCCTGACTCCCCAACCCCTGTGCCTGGTGATCCCATGGTCCTCCCCTGGGAGACAGAATGAGCTCATCTCTCTTGTCTACTGATTCGCTGGCCAACTGATAGGAGGGGATTCAAAAGAGGGGGCTGGGGGGCAGCCACACCTTCTTTGTTGGGGAGAAGAGGTCATGGGTTTGGAAGAGCCTGTGTCCTGGGGGAGGAGCCCAGGGAGGGTCCGATGGCCAGGCAGAACTTGGAGGGGGCTGGGGGAGAAGGGATTCTGTCCCTCAAGACAGCTTAGCAGAGACACTATGGCTTGGAAGGACCTTGGGTGGGGAGTACCCTGGGACCTTTAGACACTTAGCAGATACCCTCTGACCTGGAATGAACTTGGGAAGGAGGTGCTCTGTGCTGTAGGGAAATCCAGAAGAGGGACAGCCTACCAGAGGCCGCGTGGTGTGAGAGGAACCAGGAAAAACCCCATTTCTCTAAGAGGACCTTAGGGATACTTTGCCTTGCTGTCCTTTCTGCAAGAGAAAAGAGTCTTAGCTTGGGGACACTAAGATTTCTGGCCATGAGACTTACAGCATTCCTCCAGTGGCTGATTGGTCCTGAGTGGTCTTAACTTGGCTCCTCTTGGGAGGAACAGAAGAGTCATTGAGGTAGCCCCCACCCCTTATCTCCAGATTCAGACCCTTTCTCCCCTGTTCCTGCCCTCCCCTTTCTTCTTGCTGATGGCCTCTTGGCTCTGGGTTCCCTGGAGCAGGTTGATCTATGTGCATATGAGTAGGGTTGCTGCCGCACCCTTCTGGGAGTGGCACCATCATTCTTCTCAGTCCTATCTGTGGTTAGATGGGGGCTCTGGCCAGAGGCTGCTGTGGTCCCAAGCATCCTTGACAAAGGTTTCCATTGGTCTCTGGCCTGGTCCTTCTCCAGAAGCAATGGGTCTCTGCTAAAGTCTTTCCAGGTCCTGGGACTATTCTTTATATCCTAATGTACCTTGAAAAAATTGGATTGGCTTTCATAGAACACAGAGTGATAGCACTGGAAGAAGATTCAAAATATAGAATATAGAATGTCAAAGCTGAAAGTGGCCTTGGGGCAGAGAACATAGAATGTCAGAGCTGGAAAGGACCTTAGAACATAGACTATCAGAAGTGGAAGGGTTCTTAGAACATAGAACGTCAGAGGTGGAAATGTCCTTGGAACACAGAACATAAAATATCAGGCCTGGAAAGGGACCTTAAAAGAAAGAATAGAGACTAGCATAGAACATAGAATGTCAGAGGTGGAAGGGTCCTTAGAACACAGAAGGTCAGAGCTGGAGGGGTCCTTAGAACAGGAAATGTTAGCTTATAGTTATGGAAGGACCTTAGATACCATCAGTCTAACCCCTACTTTTGCAGACGAAGAAATTGAGGCTCAGTAAGGAGAAAGTCCCCAACCCCCAGTTTTGATTGGCTATTTTCCTATGCTGTGCTTTAAACATCTGATCCTTTGTGGTCTAGCTGTCCAAGCTGGGTTCCCCCTCTGTCTATTTCCCTAGTCTCCTCAGAATCTCTGCAACTTTTGCATTGCCTAACCGGCTCTACCGGGCTTCCTCAGAGGCCTCTCAGGACACTTTCCCAGAGCCTTTCTGTCCCCAGCATTCTCATTCCATTGGCTTTTCAGGGAGGCCAGGCTGTTGATCTCTGGGAAGGAATAAACAGCTCGATAGCAGAGCCATGGGCCGATCGGCGCCATCCTTCCCTTGGCCCTGGAAAGAGCCAAGCTCTGAGCTGGGAAGGCATTTAGTCAAATGCTAAAAATAAAAGCAGCCTGCTTTGTTATAGACTAGACTCTTACCCTGGCCCCCAGGAGGGAAGGCTGGGGGAGGGGGGAGCCCTGCTCTCACTCTTGGTGGGGGGGTGGGGAGGGAAGGAGAACCAGGAGCCCTCCCAAGAGTTCTCAGCCCCTGGGACAAAATGTTAAAAAGGAGGTTGGTGTTTCCTCTACCTCTGGCTTTCTGCCCAGCCCTAGGCAGTCCCTCCCCTTTTCCCTCCCCCAGGAACACAGTGGGGGTGTCCCCTAGAGAGGAGGAACAATTTTATACAGAAGCAGAAGATGTGGCTGCTTGTGAGGGGGTCTAGGGTGATTTCAGAGGCTCTGAGGGCCCTCCTGTCCACCTCCCCAACCAAAAAGAGAGCTCTGAAATTCTACCATTCAAGATTCATTCATTTGACTTGATTCCTAGTTAAAATGCAAATACTCCTGGGAGCAGACTTTGATAATGGAGAAACTGAGAGAATACTGGGTCCCTAAAGTGCTAGGAGAGGTGGGGCCCACTGAGATAGGAAAAGGATGCAGGGGTGAGGGGAGGGAAGACCGATGGCAGACAAGACTTCACCTCCTTCCCTGAACCAACAGAAATGATGGCCCTGGACAGTGTCTAGGCTCATTGTAGCTTTGGGGGGGTGGGGGCGCCTCTCATCCTTGTATCCTGCAGATGGAGCGTGTGATTGTGGGCATGCAGGACCCAGACATGGGTGTTAAGATGCGGAATCAGCGCCTGCTCATCACAGTGATTCCCCATGCCATGACCGGTGAGTCCCGTAGTCCTGCGGGGACTGGAGAAGAGAAAGCCTCTAAGGTGCCTAAGTCCAGCTTAAGGCCCCCCTGGGGAGAGGGGAGACTACTTTGGAAAGGTTTCTGAGAGAGACAGCAAAGGCAAGTCAGTTGTGTAGGGAAGTTGACCAGGCCCTGGGGAGCCCCACAGCTCAGTGAAGCCCCTAGGATGAAGTGCCAGGACATGAGCCCTGTGGTGCTGGTGGCCCAGCCCACCAGCCCTAAGCTCTGAAAGGGGAACTCCTCTGCCCTTCCCCCATAGCTTCTCTCCCATTAATGCACTTGGTTATCAATTATGCATCAGGTTGGGGGCAGGGATTGAGCTGAGAAGAGCTTGGGGTCCAAGGCTCCATCTTCTTACTGGAGAGCCCCAACGCCACCCCAAATCTCCCGGACTTTTTGACCCCACCCCATCTCACCTCCATTTTGTGTTTGGGACCCCTAGGTGTTTGCCCAGCTAACAGAGTAGGGCAGGAAGCGTCCCTCCTGGAGCCCTCCCTTGGGACCCCAGAAATGAGGAGAGTCTCCCCCTATCTAACTGTGGTCTTAGGCAGGGTGGAGTAGTGACCCCTGTGTCCAGTGACATCAGCAGCCTTAGAAACGCTGCCCACTGGCCTGGGTAGCTGCTCTGGGGAAGGGGGTTGCCTGGTCTGGCACCTTCTGTGCTGCTCAGCTTTGCCCATGCCGTCCCTTCCCCTGTATCTGCCTCTCCCTCCTGCCTTCCTGTTCACCAGTCTTATCAGTGCTGCCAAATTCTCACTCCTCACAGGGAGGAAGAAGGGGGAGGGGAGGCAGAAAGGGAGCCGAGATCAGGACCAGGCCTGACTGTTTTCCCTGTGTTGCTCTGTCTCTGTGTCTCTCTCTGTCTCATTTTCTCCTTCTCTTTCTGTCTCTCTCAAAAGGCAGTGACATTGTGGAGTGGCTCATCCAGAAATTCTCTATCTCAGAGGAAGGTAAGAGGGTATCGAGGTAGGGAGGAACCATTTCCGGCTTCTCAGGCAGAAGGGACTGACTAAACATTGCCCCTGTCCTCCAAGTCCTCTACAGAGCAGGAGAAACCCAGGAAGGGCACCACGCTGCTGTCTCCCAGTCCCATTCCAAACATGGTCTTTCCTCTACCCTTCCCTTTCTTTCCTCCTGAGAAGACCGAGGGCTCAGTCCAATCTTCGAGATGATCATTGTTCCTAATTTAATTCCTTGTTAGGAAGTGTAATCTCCAAGTGCAGTGAGCTAGCTGCCAAAGATAGTGAGTTCCCCAGCACCAGAGGTATTCGAGCAAAGCTGGATGACGGCTGGTTGGGTGGGTGGGTTGGGGTAGATGCCTTAGGCTGTCCCTTCCAGCTCTGAGATTCTATAATCTGTAAGAGGATGGGGGCTGGGGTGAGAGAGCGTGGGGTGAGGTTAAATAGAAGCTGGGACCTCTCCGCAGGAGCTGGGGAGCATGGTATGGGGACTGGAACCTCATGAGGGTTATGGGGGTCATTTTCCTGCAGAGCTCAGATTCCTGGTCCTGCACACACACACTCTAGGAGCCTGATGCCCCTCCCTCCAGCAGCCTTTAATGGGACTGGAGAGTCGGGCTTTTATCTAATTCTCACTGGGGACCAGGGTTGAATTCACTTGCTCTATACCCACTGCAGGAAAACAGGCGGCTTCTCTCAGGAGACTGGAAGATAGTGAAGACCCAGACTGAATAGCAGAGCAGAAGCAATAACTGAGAATAACCTGGGGCTCTGGGCTGGGAGCTGCTGGAGGCTGGCTTGGGCTGACTCAGAATCCCTCCCTGGTTCCCCGCAAGTTTCTGATCACCCTGGTCTGGCTCACACTCTGTCTTCCTCCTTCTCCCTCCCCGCCTCCCCCCATCTCTCCCTTCTCCCCTTTCTCCTCGTCCTCCCTCTTCCCCTCCTCCCTTTCCTATTTTTCCCCTCTCCTTTTTCCTCCCCCTCCTCCTCCTCTCCCTCCTCCCTCCCCCTTCCCCTCCTCCTCTTCTTTCCCTTTCTCCCCTTTCTTTTCCTCCCCCTTCCCTCCTTCTCTCTTTCCCCCCTCCTCTGTCTCCTCTTCCTCTTGCCTCTCCATCTCCTCCTCCTCCCCCTCCTCTCTCTCCTCCTCCCCCTCCTCTCTCTCCTCCTCCTCTTTCTCCTCACTCAGGGCTTACAGGATCATGGGATTCAGTGCAGGAATACACCAAATGCTTCATCTGACAGATGAGGAAATCTCTTTTAGAATCCCTTGCTTTTTCTTCCAATACCAGCTCATTCTGGCACATATACAAGGCCTTTCCTGATTCCTCCTGGTATCTAATGTCTCCCCACCCTGAAATTAACTTTGTATCTTTTTTTTAAAGATTCTAATAGAATTTTTTCCCAATTACATGTAAAGATAATTTTCAACATTCATTTTTTGGAAAGATTTTCAGTTCCAAATTTTTCTCTCTCTTTCCCTCTTCTCTCCCTTCCCCTAGACAGCAAGCAATCTGATATAGGTTATACAATATGCAATAATGTAAAATTTGTATTATTTTTAATCACTTTGATGTGTACATGTTTTCCCTCAATAGAATATTAGCTCTGTAAGGGTAGAAATTAGACAGCTAGCTAGTAGAGTGGATAGTGGGGGACTTGGAGTCAGAAAGACCTGAGTGTAAATTCTGACTTGGTTACCTCCTAGATATATAACCCTCGGCTCATTATCTAATCTCTCTCAGCTTTAGTTTCCTCATCTGTAAAATGAGCTTGGGAAGGAAATGGCAAATCTCTCCATTATCTTTGCCAAGAAAACCCCAAATGGGGTCACAAAGAATCAACTGAACAACAACAAATTATTATTATTATCAGATAATGTGTCAAATATTTTGCAAACATTTAATGTCCTGAATGAATGCTAGATGTTATTATAGTCTCTGTAGCCATAGTACCTGGCACATATGGTTTGGTTTTTGACCAGTGGTATGATTTAATCAGGGTAGGGAGCTATTAAGGCTTAAATAATAAAACTAATCTAATATTAAGGCTTAAAGCTGCACTAAAACTTTTGGGACACCTGGTATTATGGTTACTGGGGAACTATAGGTGTGGATTATGCATACATTGTTAGACTTGTTTGAAGGGTTGAGAAAGAACTGATAAACGGAAGCACAGATAGAATGATTTTACATATATATATACACACGTATTTGTGTCTAATGGCAGCCATCTCTAGGGTGGGGAGGGGGAAAGAAAAAAAAAGAAATTTACATGATAATTTTATTATATATTTAAAAAGAGTAGTAAGTTGTACATAATAGATTTGCAGTTTCATGCGCAATCATCTTTTTATTATACTGTTATGGAAATGCTTGTTTTATTCCATAAATTAAAAATAAAATAAATACAATATTAAAAAAAGAACTGAGGAAAGGGATAAATTTGGAAGTGAAGGTTACGTGAAAATCAAAGGTATCAACACTAAAAAAAAAGTGGTCCCCAGAACTAAATACCATTTCCAGAAGCGATTTAAGCCCAATTCTCCCTCTGCAGAATCTCTACATCTGGGGAATCTCATTGTGAAACATGGTTACATCTATCCCCTGAAGGACCCTCAATGCCTTGTGCTCCGAGCAGATGATTCCCCATACAGGTTCCAGGTGAGACTGCCCTCCGGTTCAACTCCATCTTTCTATGATTAAGAGAAATCAAGACCCAGAAAGGGTGAGGGGATTTGCCAAGGTCACATAGCAGATTTTGAATACTTTGGTGGTAGTGGTAGTGGTGGTGGAGAGGTGTCCAGCCCTAAAGGTGGGACACCCTCCCACCAGCCAGCTAACCTGGCAAAGGCCCCGGGGTACCCAGTTCCTGGGTTTGGCTTCAAAGAGGGAGGGGCTCTCTAGGATTAGTGTTGTGGTGGCTGGAGCTAACCAGTAGATAGGTGTAGTTTAGTTCCTCTCTCTCCCACCCCCTTCAGGCCTCCTAGATTGCAGCTGGCCCCTCTCCCAGTTCTTCACTTAAAGCAAAAGACCTGATTTGCATTTTTCACATATTATTTTTACTTCATAAAAATGGCAAAAGAGAGGGAACAAGGGGGTGGTGGGACCAGCACTCTACTTGCTATTGGAAGCTTGGGGCTCAGGCCTTGGTGCTACCACTCCCATCCTAATAGTGTTTGACTATGGGCATATCACTAAAAACTCTTTGAACCTCAGTTACCTCGTCTGTAAAATGGGGCTAATATTTGAGCCACTTATCTTATGAGATTGTTATGAAGCAAAGAGCTTTGTGGACCACAGAGTACCAGAGAATAGTGAGAAGAATTTGGAATTTGAGGTCCTGGGTTCAAATCCCTGCTTTTCTGTTTATTACAAGAGGTATGACCTTGAAGAAGGCAGTTCATTTTTCTAGGCCTCAGTTTCCTTACTTGTTAAATGAGGTCCCTTCCAGCTTTAAATGTGTGACCCTATGATTCCATTATCATTATTACTACCTCCTCCTCTTCCTCCCTATTCCCATATCTTTCAGCACCTATGCTGGGGTGGGGAGCAGGGAGCTTACTTAGCCAGGAAGAACAACTGAGGCATCTCTAGTGCTGATTGGGGAGCCCATTTCCAGCCAAGTTAATTGCAGCTAGAGATGGAATCCCTGGAAAGTGGACTGGGAGGGCACTTAGTTTGGTGGCTGGGTACCTAAGGCCTGCCCCACCCTCTTCTTGTGGGGAAGGGAGTGGTAGCCATGGGATGTGAGTTTGGGAGGAAAATAAGGAACAGGATTGTCTTACTGCCAAAATAAGCTTTGTGCCACCCTAGAGGAAACCTCACTTATAGGAAATGATGAAGTAGGCTGAGACCGAGAGGGGTCATAGGAGTTTAGAACTGGAAGGGTCCCTCGGGGACCCTCTAGTTAAAACTGTCCATTTTACAGATGGGAAGACTGAGACTCAGCTAAGTGAAATGCCTTGCTCAGGAAACAAGGAGCAGAGCTGAGATTCAGACCTTGAACTTCTAACTCCTGACTCATTGCTCATTCCCAATCCTTCCTCTGTGGGTCACCTTGGACTACTTTCCTCCCTCTGGGGCTCCAGACCTAGAAGTGGACAGAAGGACTTCTAAGGCCTTTTTTGGCTTTAAATAACAGCCTCTCAAAAGCATACGGGGCTTTGTAGTTTACAAAGCACATTTTTATTTGATCACTACGACAAACTTGCAGAGCAAGCTGGGCAGCCATTATTGTCCCCATTGGACAGATAAGGAAACCGAGGCCCAGAGAGGAAAAGGAATTTGCACAAGGTTACACAATGAATGAATGGCAGAGCTGGAGCCAGAGCTTAGGACCTCTCATTCCAAGGCTAAAGCTCTTTCCTTTGCCCTTTTAGATTGAAGGAAAGGACATGAACAAAGGCAGGTAGAATTAAAAAAATCCAATTCAGAGAACAGAGAGGATCTGTCTTCAGTAGTGGTAGATAATGTTAAAGGGGTAGTTTGGGGCCCTGGTCTGGGTGGTAAAGGGCCTCCCATGCCACAATTATGAATCAAGTGAGGGGGATAGGCCATACGTGCTTGTTCGTGAAGAAATGGGGATGCTGTCCTCAGGAAAGGGCATCTTTCTGCTTCTCCATCTTCCTGAAAGAGCATCTGGCTTCTGCCTAAGGTTTAGGTTTAATTTTTCACTAATCCTATCTGTCCACAGCAGCCGGCTCTGTACCACTCTGTACCACTCTGTGCAATTCCAGGAATCAGTATCTCACCTTATTTGAGAGGCCTTTTCCTGGTGCCCTTCAATGTTGGGGCCTTCCCTAGATTACCTCCAAGATATCCTATAAATAACCTATAAATAATACAGTTATTTGCATGTTCTCTCCACATTAGAATATAAGCTCTGTGAGGGCAGGGACAGTGTTTTTTGGCTTCCTTTGTATCCTCAGCTCTTAGCACAGGGCCTGATTGCATACAGCTTAAATAATAGAGCTTGTAGGGGCAGCTAGGTGGCCCAGTGGATAGAGCACCGGCCCTGGATTCAGGAGGACCTGAGTTCAAATCTGGCCTCAGACGAAACACTTAACACTTACCAGCTGTGTGACCCTGGGCAAGTCACTTAACCCCAATTGCCTAAAAAAAAAAAAAATAGAGCTTGTTGACTTGATTTGACTACAAGTTTGGAGGAAAGTCTAGGTTCCTCCAGAAAGGCTTCCTGGGGGAATGGGGGACCCCACTCTGCTATTTCCAGCCATGATGATATCCTGTTCTCCATCTCCTCCCCCCTAGACACCCTATTTCTGGATGAGCACTAAGTGGCCAGCTGCTGAACTGGATTATGGTAAGTGGGTCAGGGCCAGAGGCAGGGCTGTGGCTAACAGATTGCGGATGATTTGATAGTGGGGGGGGGGGGCGCAGAGACTGTCAGACTCACAGGAATGTCAGATCTCTGAGGCACCCAGGAGGTCATGCAGTTCAGCTCCCTCTTTCTACAATTAAGGGAAATCAAGATCCAGAGAGGGTGAAGGACTTGCCCAAGGTCACACAGCTATTCACTGAAGGGCTCCTGCCCCACTGGGGCTCAGCTCTTCCTTGATTCTTCCTCAAGACTGGTCGGGGCAGGGCCAGCCTTCATCAGGCCCCTCCCAGCTGCTGCCTCTGTCCTTGGTGAGCCCGCCCTTCTCTGTTCCAGTTGCAGAAATGTATTAGCTACGTAATTTATGGCAAGCTATTTTATCTCTGTTTGCCCCAGTTTCCTGATTTGTAAAGAGAAAAATAATAATGACACCCGCCTTTCAGGGTTGTTGTGAGATCAAAATGATGTAATGATTGTAAAGTGCTTAACACAGTGGCTGGCATATGCTAAGCACTATATTATTGTTATTTCTCTAATTTAATGTAATTGTTCTATACCCGATAACTTTAAAGTGGTTTTAAAATGCCAAAGGTAATGAGATCAATGATTTTAATGTGATAATTTGAAAATGCAATTGATGTCACCTGAAGTTTATTGTTTGTGTCATTATTGTATTTCTAAATTGTATAGTATTTCTAAATTCTCTTATATTGTAAAATTTGAAAGACAATTATAAAATAGAAATGATGTTAGACAAAGCAATTTTTAATCTGGATTTTGTTACATATGAATTGGGCTTTTAAAAGGATGTAATAAAAAAAGATTAGATATTTCAAAACTGTTAAATATTTAATGAGGCATATTTAGTTATAAACAGGTAATAATAATACTAACCCTATTGCTACTACTAATAATAATATCTACTGTAATAACAGATTTTCATTTGAAAATCTTGGCTATTATGAAAGTGTATAAGGTAGTTTAAAGATGTGGCTTCATCATATTAATGATGAGTCAACTATTAGGTATTTGCTTTATGTTTGAAGCCCCAGAATTATGGGTAGTTTTAATTTATAAGTAAAGGATTGATGTTAATTAATTAATTTTAATTTATTAATTAAATTAACAAATATTAACTATTAGGGAAACATCAGGAAAAATATTCAAGCTCTAAGATGTGGTTAGTGAAATTTTGCTATTTTGGGTAAAAATTCCTGAAACTGTAAATTTACTGTTGTTTTGAGCTTTGATTACCAGGATAGTGGTTTGAATTGTTATAAAGCCAGTAGTAGAAAATGGCATATACGGCAGTCTGAGAACTGCCTAAAGGTGGATGTTTGTCCCTGGGAAAGGTTGTGGAGACAATCGAGGACATGGCCTAGGTAGGATCCTTCTCACTCTATTTCCCCATTGTGCTATTTCGTTTCTGGAAAAGGAAAATTCCCCACCTGGTTAATCCTGAGCCTTGCCTTTAACACTCCTTTATCACTACATGATTGGCTGTCAGATATGACTCATGCCTGGAATCAGAGCTAAGGGAATTTTTTTCCAACAGAGCAAAGGGAGTTTTTCCCTGTGTTATGATTATAACTATGTCCTTTTTCCTTTCTATTTCTATATATTTCTATAATCAAGAAGTTTTATAAGTGCAACACTATCTATTAAATAAAAAATTGATGCTGGAACATCTCTAAGTTATTACAATAGGGTTCAAGTATGACCATTTTACAATTTTGGTCTAATTATAATATAGGGATGATATCCTCTAAAGGGGGAAATAAACAAACTAATAAGATAAAGATGTAATGTAAAAACTTTCTAATTAAATGGAATAGTAAATTTTTTTTAAATTTTGGAGGCAATGTGGGTTAAGTGACTTGCCCTGGATCACAGAAAAAAGTAACAGGATTAGTCCATTTTCTCTAAGAACTATATGTAGATGTATATTATTGGCTTCCAAAGTTTATCTATCATGGAAATTCAGGCTTTGGGTTTGAGTTTTAAGTTTAGCAATATGTTTTGGGTAATAAGTTCTCAAAATTGAATTTTTACACAAAAATTGCATTGATAATGGTACAGAAAGTTAAATTATTTTCCCATTTTAAAAATCTGTCTGATAATCTTAAAGGACAGAGGAATTCATTTTCAGTTAGACTCTCATGAATTTTTTAAAAGATTCTTATATCAGGTACAGGATTCAGGTCTCTAACAGGTGGGATAGGCACATGATCAGGCCTCCACGGACAGGGTAGGACTTCCTGGGATGATGCTACTGGGGAAAGCTGGTGTTTAGCCACCAGTTTTCCCTCTCTCTATGGTGCATGTACATGTATGCATGTATGTTGGCAAGTGCACATACATGCACATGTTTGTTCATGCCACATCTGCTTTTCCAGCTATCTATTTGGCCAAGAAGAATATACGGAAACAAGGGGACCTCATTGAGCATGAAAAGGTAGGGCAGCCCCAGCCCCAGCCCCACTGCCCCATCCAAGATATTCAGATCCACCTCCCTACTGATGGGGATACCTATGGCGATATAGAAACTGCCTTTATTTCTTCAATGCAGATGACACACAGACCACCCAGATCCTTCCCCTCTTGGCTAGGCCCCCCAACTCAGAATTGCCTCAGGGCCCTCTACCCTTTGCCTCTCTCCTAGAGGGGATGGGGCCTGCATAGACAGCCATAAGGCAGGGGCAGGAGTAGGGTTGAGTAGGGGACCCCCTGACTGGAGCCCCTCTCCTCCTGTCCCTCCTGCAGGATTACTATAACCAGCTACATAAGAAGATCAATCACACATGGGACTTTGTAGTGATGCAGGCCCGGGAGCAGCTGAGGTGAGCCGTCCTTCTTCCCTCCCTCCCTCTACCCCCATACAAACCCCACCCTTTGTCTCGGGCCACAGTCACACTGGCCACAGCCCCTGAGTCTGTGTTCTGGACCAGGGACTGTACCAAACACTCCCCTGCCTTACTCTCTCCCCTTTCCTCCTAGCTTCTGTCCAGGCACTGCCTAGAGGGGGGGGCTGGGAGTGGGGGAGGGATGGATCTCTGGAGGATACAGAACCAGGAGCTAAGCCTCAGCTGGGAAAGGAGATAAGAGAAAATGGGCATGGCCAGATGTTGGTCAGCAGACTTTCCAGATGTTAGGGGGAGAGTGTTAGTTACTCCAGCAAGCCTTGGGTTCTACCCCACCCCTTCCCAGGTCTGCTTAATCTTCTCTGAGAGCAGGGATTAGAGTCAGCTCTCCCCTGAGATCAGCACATCCCGGCCTGATCTCTGTCTGACCCAGCCTCTCCCCTCCTCCCTGGCATGATCTCTGACTGAGCATCCTCCCTTCCCTTCAGAGCAGCCAAGCAGCGTCGGAAAGGGGACAGAATTGTCATTGAGTGCCAGGAGCAGGCTTACTGGCTGGTGAATCGGCCCCCGGTGAGAGACTCTCCCCATGTTCCCCTCAGATCAGGGAGCTTTGTGATGTTGGGCAAATTGCTTGACCGCTCTGGGCCTCAGGATCCCTTCCCTATGCAATGAGGCATCTGGACTAGTAGAGGGGAGGAAAGGCCTGGCAGACAGGGGGGAAAGTGGTCATTGGAAATGGCCAATGGGGAAGGGGACCTAGGTGAGGAGCTCAGAAAAAGGGGCACAGAAGCAAACTTTCTCTGAGGCCAACTGAATAGGGTAGGGGGCTGGCAGGGCCTCACAGTGAGGGAAGATGTGGGGGGGGGCAGAGAATTAGATGGATGGACTTTGGGACATGATCTGCTTCCCCTGCCCCTCACTCTTCAGTCCAGTCAGGGGTCAGTTCTACTCTCTGTCTCCCTCTGCTGTAGCTGAAGGTAACCACAGTCTCTTTGAGCCACCCAGCAGGGTTTGGGGGAGCCGGGATCCTAGAAGGTGTTTAGTTTTTAAGCTGTTCCCTGCCCTGCCCCCCTTCCCTCATTCCAAACCAGGCCAATCAGGAACCTAGCTCCCCTTTCCCTCTTTGTGAAATGAGGACGGGACAGGATTTCTTGGTTTGAAGCTGGCTCCATTCCCACCCTCCACTGGGAGGCTGGGGGCTATGAGCCTGGGGAGACCCTGCCCTATGGACCTGGCCCAGGGGAGTGGGAAGCAGAACCTGAACTCTTGCCCACTTAGCCCCACTGTATCCTACTCATTATGTGAGGAATGATGAAGGTGATGATGATGATGATGATGATGATGAACATTTTTAGGAACAAGGATTATAGAGAGCTGAAAGGGATGCAGGATGCCACTTAGTTCAACTCCTTCATTTAACAGTTGGGGAAACTGAGGCCCAGAAGTCAAGTCACTTGACCAAGACCACACAGCTAGCACCATATCAGAAACAAGTTGGAGGTCCTCTGACTTGGCGGCAGTGTGCATTCCACCATACCCAAGGGCTAGGAGCCATGAAGCCCACTTGAGGGCAGAGGGTTTGGGGAGGGGGTGGACAACAGGAAGTGGAGAGTTGACTCTTCCATTTCTACTCCACTCCCCCCCCCCATTTCTTTGTCAGCCAGGAGTCCTGAATGTGATGGAGCAGGGACCTGAGCGGGGTAACTGCTATACCACCAGGGTGCAAATGGTGAGTGGCTCTTCTTTGCCCTGGTTCCCCCATTTAATAGGAAATAACCCCTGCCTGTCTGCCCTATGGAAGAATTGCAAGGAGGTCAACTCTGGCAGGATTTCTGGATCCATACCTGGGGCTGGCCTCAACCTCTTTTCCCCCTTTGCTTCCCATCTCCCTTCTTCCCTCTTTAGCTGGGTTCCAGCTCTGGCTGTGGCTCAAGACCTCACATGCTCCTGGTTCTCCCTCACCCTCAACCCCTTCCCCTGACCGTACACAAAGAAGGAACTGGCCACAATGTGAAGGATGATTAAGGGAATGGGAAGCATTTTCAGGGACAAGGACCCCTAAGATTATGCATTCTAGACCTGGAAGGGACCCGGAATGCCACATAGCCCAAACCCCTCATTTACAATTGGAAAAGCTGACACCCAGGTCGAGTGGCTTGGCCAAGGCCACACAGCTAGTACATGGAAGCTACGAGTTGTAGATCCTCTGATTTAAAAGGCAGTGCTGGGTCCCCCAGGCACCAGGAGCTATGAATTCAGCCCTATATGGGAACAGAAGGTTCGGGGAGGGATTAGACAACAGGAGATTGTCTCGTGGCTGGTGACGGTTGATTGCTTCAGACAGGCCAGGGCCAGGCTGAATTCCCTGTCTAACTTTTTATTTTTGGAACCAGACCTGTGATTTTATTGGCACAGGAGACTTCTAATGAGGAAGCCCCTGGGAAGCAGAAACTTCCTTCATTTCCCCCTCCCCCTGCCTGGACTCAAGAGCCTTAAAAAGAGAGTTCCAGAAGCCTCTTCCCTTCCAGCCAAGTCCAGTCCATCGTTTTGCACTGGAGTTTGGGGTCTTGGTATAGTTAATGTTGTACCCTGAGACTAGAGGTACCTCCATGGCTATGGCCTTCAGCTGTAGCTAGATACTGGACCATTCAAGGCCTCCAGTAGCTCCCTGGGGTGGAAAAGTTCAGATGTGACCAAGGATTCCCATTAACACTCAACTTATTTGATTTGACTCTGATCCCAGCCCTGTGGATGGGAGCTAAGTGGGTCCAATCCAAGCTTGGTCTCCGACCTTCTATGTGACCCTGGGCAAACTCCTTCTCCTCTGGGCCTGTTTCCTTGTCTGTAACTGAGGGGATTGGACTAGATGACCTTTAAGGTTGTCCGTGGGCAGCTAGGTGGCGGCATAGTGCACACAGCATGGGGCTGGGCACAGAGCATCGGGGCATGAAGACCTGAGTTCAAATGCGGCCTCAGATCCTGGGCAAGTCACTTTACCCTGTTTGCCTCAGTTTCCTCATCTGTAAAATGAGCTAGAGAAGGAAATGGCAAACCACTCCAGTGTCTCTGCCAAGAAAACCCCAAATGGGGTCACAAAGAGTCAGACATGACTAAAATGACTGAACAGCAACAGGGTTCTCTGAAAGTTCTAAAATTATGGACATTTCTATATACCTGAACTACATCTAAGGCTAGGACCTCAGATGTGTCCCCGACAGCAGGGGGTAGACTCCACTGAGCTAGCCACACTCTCTCCTGGTCATCTTAAGGATCAGAGGCACTGGTATCTGAGAGGCTGGTAGGATTAGAGTCCAGCCAGGGCTTGGGACTGGGGAAGTGATCAGAAGTGTGGGGGAAAGACTGTAAGCTTGCCTTCATCAGGGGAGAAGTTCTATCCAATGAGCACTGCTAGCTTTTTGCCTATGAGATAAAAATAACTAGAATTTATTTTAATCTCATGACAACCTGGTGAGATAGGAGCTATCTCATTTTTTGCAAATGGGGAAACTGAGGAAGAAAGAAGTTATTTGCTCAGGGTTTTGCAGCTAGTAAGTCTAAAGCAGGATTTGAACCCAGGTCCTCCTGAGTCCAAGCCCATCACTCTCTCCACCATGCCACATAGGTAACTCACTCACTAATTATGCTTCCTTCTTCTTCCTGATTTTGGTCGGGAGTGGGAGGGAAGAAAAAAGAAGTTTTCCCCATTAGGGTCTCTCATGGCCCCCCATTTACCAGACTGCTCTGTCCTGCCCTCACCCTCCTTTTCTTAATCTTTTTCAGACTAAAAATATGGATTTTTATAAGCGAGAGGTAAGCCCTTAGACTGTCTTTGGGTTCTATGGAGGGGGAACACATTGTGGGGCCTTGGGATTCTTCCGGGGTGGGGAACCTGCGGCCTCAAGCCACATGTGGCCCGTGTTTAGCCTAAGGCCTGCTGGGAGAAACAGAATAACAGGGCTGTGGGTGGAATCTGGTTACCCCCTGGCTATGGGGATATCCCACTTTAATTTTTTTTTAATTGGGTAAATATGGACAAAGATTAAAGGCAAAGGAGGCTTGGCTGTCCCCATCCACCCAATTGGAAGGTCGTCCCTGGCTAGTCTGGCTGTTTTAGAGCTGGCTGGAGCTGATCCCTCCCTCACCTCTTTTTTCTTGGGTCTCTACCTAGATTGAGTACTGTAAGAAGGCAATGGGTAGGACTAGGGTGAAGTCTTCTATCTGCCTGGAAGCGTGAGTGCCTCAGGATTGGGAGGAGCAGGGTCTGGGCAGGTGGGAGGGTGGGGACGTCATACATGTCCACCCCAGATCTCTCCCAAATGCTTCCTTTGTCCCCACCCATACTCACTCCCCTGGCTCTCTTGAGCCCCATCTGGGATTCTCTGGGCTTATTCTTGCCATAGCAGCCCTTTCCTTTCAACCAGACCTTCTTGAGTAGGGAGTGTTCCCCCAAATCATCTGCATTCTCTGGCACTGCCACTTACTACCTTTGTGACCTTGGGCATTATCCAGTTGGCGCCTCAGTTTCCTCAATCTCTAGAATGAGGGGATTGAACTAATTGACCTCCAAGTTTCTTCCAAATCTAAATCCATGTTCCTGTTATCCTTGTGGGTTCTCTCCACCCAGATATCTCAAGTTCAATGATCAGTACATGCCCCATGACCCCATCATGTCCGGCTGCCTGCCCAGTAACCCTTGGATCACTGACGATACGGACTACTGGTCAATGAATGCACCCACGTGAGTATTCCTCCCACCTGCTGAGGGAGGGTGGAGAGCACTGAAAACAACCTAGTTTCCAGTAGGATAACCATCCCACACTTACTGCTGATTCTTGGTGGGGATCATGGGCCCAGACACAGGGAATCTGGCTCCAGAATTCACCGAGGCCCTCCCATTTAGGGGGCCTCATCGCTCAAGCTAGGCAACATCTAAGGTCTCTATCCTAGGGGGCCCTGAATGGTAACCGCCCTAATAAGTTCTGGATCCGTTTCTCTAATTCTGAGAGCTGTGGGGAGATACTTGGGGTTTCTTCCTCTTTGGGGTGGGGGACACAAAAGAAGCTGCCACCTCCTTACACATTTATTGCCTAGGGTGACGACACCTACTAAGTTACGGGTTGAGCGTTGGGCCTTTAACTTCGGAGAGCTCCTGGGGGATCCTCTGGGCCATATACAGTTCATGGAGTTCCTCAAGAAAGAGTTCAGTGGTAAGACAGCTACCCCCACTCCACTGCTGGCCATGTTCCTGTAGGAGATACAGGGCCCCAAGAGGATCCTGGGTGATAACAGTCAGGGGATGGAGGCAGAGACAGGTTAAGTATCTGAGGTAGGATTTGAACTCGGGTCTTTCTGGCCACCTGGATGCTAGCATGCCGGGCAGGATGATGTCCTTCCTGCTCCCGGCACAGCCTTTTTCTTCCCAGTTCTCCAGCTCTCCCATTTCCCTGGAGCCTTGTCTCTTCACCAGAACATTGTGAGCCAAGGACTCCTTGTTCCTCCCCAGCTGGTGGGGGTAGGGTGGGAATGGAAGGATGTTCAGGAGGATGGCTAGGTGTGCAGTCAGGGGCCCCAGCTCACTCTGCACGGACTTCAGGGGCTTCTCCCTGAATATTTCTTCTCTTGTCTCACCTCTGGTCATCCCCTCCTCCCTCCCACCCAGCTGAGAACCTGAGCTTCTGGGAAGCATGTGAGGACCTGCGATACGGGGAACAGTCCAAGATTGCTGAGAGTGTCGACTCTGTCTACCAGTGAGCCTCACCTCTTTCCCCGCCACCAGATCCCAGCCTGGGTTCCAAATTCCCTTGGGTTCCTTCACTCCTGGCAGGTGGGGCAGAGACTAGAAAGGGTCTTGGTGTCTGGGCAGAGAATCTTCCGGTCAGAAGGGGTTCTTCTTCAGAGGTCATTAGGTCCATTCCTCTGCTGTCTATGTATCCAGGTCTACTGAGGTGAGGGTGGGATAGGAAATTTTTGATACCATGTTTGAGGGAGCACTGAGCCCCAAGCTGCCTCTCTTCCACTTCGCATTCAGGCCAAATTAACAACTTTATGCTTCCTTTTGGGAATTCTACACCCAGTTTTCACTCTCTGATGAAGGGGAGGTGGGATTAGCCAGAAAGGGGCCACCAGATACTCTGGGGTGTTAGGAGGTCTAACTGAGCCTGCTGAATGGGGATGGGGTATACCAAGACATTGGTTCCTAGTAACAGAACAGAAGGGCACAGGGACCATGCCTTTCTCTCTCTACTCTTTCCAAAAGTATAAACATTCCTGAGACACATAATATCTCCCCTAAAATTATTTGAGGATTAGTTTAAAAGCCAGGTGGGAACAAGAATGAGCTACATAATAAGTACTTAAGAGTGGGGAAGGAGAGACTCTGATGGGGGGTATGGGGGGTAGAAGAGCAAACATCATTTTCCAGTTTTTTTCCAGTGCCTCGATGAGCAAACGGCATCTTAAAGGCAGACCGCAGGCCATAAGCCCTTCTGCTAATTTGTCCATATTTCTCTAACTGTTGGGGTTCAGACAGTTTCTGGCCCCTGGGGCCACACGCTGGGTCAACATCGACAGCAAGACTATGGAGAAGACGCTTGAAGGGATCCGCAGACCCCATCGCTATGTCATGGATGATGCCCAGATGCATATCTACATGCTTATGAAAAAGGTGCTCAGATGAGGGGTTCAGCAGAGTTGGGAAAAACAAAAGGACTCCTGTCTTAAGGCATCAGCTCCCTGTCAGGGCAGTGAAAGGTAGTTGGGTCTGAAGCTAGAAGCCCATGCATTTGTCTTAGAAAAATGCTAAAGGAGTTCCCTGTGGATCCCCACCCCTGCTTATCTTCATGCCTTGAAGGTCAAGTGGCCCACTGGCTGAGACCCTTAACTAAAACGCCTAGGGCTTGGAATGGATGCATTCAATCATTCACTCATGCTTTATTCCCCTCCAGCTTCCAAGTGGAAGGCTACATACAGGTGGAAACACAAATGTTAAACAGAAAACAAAACCAGTTCAAATCAGGCCTCAGACCAAACACTTGACACTTACTAGCTGTGTGACCCTGGGCAAGTCACTTAACCCCAATTGCCTTAAAAAAAAAAAAAAACTCAAGCTAAAATCAGAATAGATGTTATTGGATGTCTGAGTTGAATTGTTGCATAACTGTTCAGTCATTTCAGTTGTGTCTGATTTTTTGTGACTCCATTTGAGGTTTTCTTGGCAACGATACTGGAGTGGTTTGCCATTTTCTTCTCCAGATGAGGAAACTGAGGCAAACAGGGTTAAATGACTTGCCTAGGATCACACAGCTAGTAAGTGTCAGAGGCCAGATCTGAACTCAGGTCTTCCTGACTCCAGGCCTGGCACTCTATCCCCTGCGCCACCTAGCTGCCCTTCTGAGTTGAGTTAGATCTGACAGTTGTCCTGCAGATAATTATAAGAACATAGAAAGCACAGAGTAATGGGGTCATTAATGGACTTTCCTCACAAGCTGTTCCTAGAGCCTTGTGGGGATGGGGAGTGGGGGGGATTATCAAATTGAGGAGGAAACTGTGGACTTGGACATTCTTCTTTTCTGTTTTGTTTTGTTTTAGTGAGGCAATTGGGGTTAAGTGACTTGCCCAGGGTCACACAGCTACGAAGTATCATGTGTCTGAGGCCAGATTTGAACTCAGGTCCTCCTGACTCCAGGGCCTATCCACTGTGCCACCTAGCTGCCCCTACACTCTTCTTTTCTGGAGGCATCTATCTTTAAATGAAGGGCTAAACACCTACTAAGAAGGCAGCATGAGGTAGTGGCAAGAGCTCTGAGTTTGGAGGCAGAGGGCCCGGGTTTGAATCTTTTCTCTGCTACATCCCACCTGTAACTTTGAGCAAGCCATACATCTCTCTGGGCCTCAGTTTCCTAATCTGTAAAAAGGATTAGACTAGATCTCTAAATCCCATGATTCTGCACCAAACTACTTGAACAACCTCTTTCTGTTCTACAAGAAGGTAATTTTATGGTCCTGGGAAACAAAAGCATAAATTTCAAAACAACTGTGTAAGTAATGCTATTGGAATAAGGTGGGCCTGTCTGTCTTTCAGGATTCCTATCCCAGGTTCTTAAAGTCTGACATGTATAAGACACTCCTAGCAGAGGCTGTGATTCCACCAGAGACTAAGAAACGGTGAGCTTCACCCCCTTCCCTGCCATGATCCTATTCACTCTATTTCCTAAACTCCAAAATAAAAGGATTTGGAGGGGGTTGGGAGACAGGAGGGATGAGGCAGTCTTTCCCTTGGCCTTTTACACCAATAACCACTCCGCCATGTGAGAGAGCTGGAATTGGGAATTACCATGCAAGTCACCCTCATCTTATCCCATTCCATGGAATGGATCAACTTGGGGGAGAGGTCTCTTATTGAGACAAGAGAATGGGGGCAAAACTGGAGAATAACCAGCAGTCTCAACCTCTCAGCTCCTCCTCAGTATCCTTTTCCCACAGAAGCTCACAGGAATCAATATGTACAAATTGCCACTCCCTTTCTCCCCCTGCTCAGACCCACTGGGTAAGAGAAATAGCAAAGAACAAGAAAGAGAAGTAGAGCGAAAGGCTTGACACAACCTATGCCCCATGGTAGGCCTCCGCGTTTGCACTGCCCTTTGGGGGTCCCAGCCTTCATCCTTCTGTCCTCTGTCTGTCTGTCTCTCCAGAGTGTTCCCATTCATGAGGAAGCAGCGCCACTCCAGCCCCAGCCCGGCCCTCCTCTTGCCCTCAGAACAGGATCCCAAGGGGGAGGACAAGAATAAGGCCCTGGCTTCTGCTGCCGGGGGAGGGGAAGGCTAGGCAAGGCGACAGTCCTCCCTTTCCCTCTGTGGCCACTCCTCCCTCTCCTCTGGTTGACAGCCTGGAGGATGTAATTGGAGAGGGGAGGGGTTGGGGGTGCCGGGTGTGGGGAAGGGGACAGAGAGAAACGCATTTCATGAACCGAGATGTGTGAGGGCTCCCTCTCCTTCCTCCTTGACCCTGCCATCTCCAGTGTCCTCCAAGGAGAGGTTATAATGCCCACCAACTCCTTACCCCTAATCCTAAGAGTCAGTCTGCAGGTATCTCACCCACCCTAGCCTTTGGCAGAGGAAGCATGGTGCAGTGGACAAGGTGCAGCAAGGGTGCCGGTCTTAGCTCTGTTGCTAACTTGCAGCCTAACGTTGGGCAAGTCACTCTCTGGGCCTCAGTTTCCCTCCTGTACAAGTTACTTAGATGATCCAAAGTGCTCCCTAAGGTTTCCTCTTCCAACTCTAGAAGTCCAGTTCGGTCCCCTGTCCAGCCAACCCTGGCTTGGTGACTTCTGAGCCTTTCCACAGGCTCCATTAGAACCTTCCTGGCTCTCCAGGCGGGTAGCTGTTTTTATGGCTTTTTGGGGTCAGCTCATCAAGGAGCAGCTGTTACCTATCTTAAGGTCTCCAGGTGCCCTTCATATACATGCGTGCACATGCATGAAACCCCAGGAGCATACTTCAGGTTCCTGGATAAGCAGTGGCTTCTTCTTCTTCCTTCCCATGGCAAGCTCTCATAGTCCCAAAAGGTGGCAAGAAGAGTAGCTCTGTTGAGCCGGACCCTCCAGGGTAGTGCAGGAACCCTGTTTGCTGGGAGGAAAAAATAACGCAAAACTTCCTGCTTCCCAAATATCAGAAAAGATTGAAGCCATTGATTTCCAGTTTGTCCCAAAGGGAAATATCTCCAAATAAATGAATCTTGGATTTGGAAGGGAATTCGTAAGTCATCTAGTCTAACCCATATCTGAACAAGATTCTGCTCTATCAGTCCAACAACGGGTTATCCAGCTGTTAGTTGAACTTTGTTAGAGGGGAGAGCCTGCTACTTCCTGGAGTCCATTTTACTTTGGGAGAGCACTTCAGCTACTTGAAAACAACTTTCCTTAGGCCTTCTCTAAGCTAAACACCCCCAGTTCTTTCAATTCATCCACACATGCCATGATTTTGGGACCCTTTATCATCAAAGTGGGACAGCTAGGTGGTGCAATGGATAGAGTGCCAGGCCTGGAATCAAGCAGATTCCTCTTCCCAAGTTCAAATCTGACTTCAAGACACTGACTAGCTGTGTGACCCTGGGCAAGTCACTTAACCCTGTTTACCTCAGTTTCCTCACCTGTAAAATAAGATGGAGAAGGAAATGGCAAATCACTCCAGTATCTTTGCTAAGAAAACCCCAAATGGGGTCACAAAGAATGGGACACAACTGAAAAACAACCATCAAAGTTGCCCTCTTCTGAATACTCTCCAGCTTATCACTAAAATATAGCATTCAGAATTGAAGCTGATACTCCAAGTGTAGTCTAACTATGGAGATACAGAAGGACTACTGCCTCCCTCATACTTAATACTGTGCTTCTCTCAGTGCAACCTAAGACTGCATTACATTTTTTGGCTGCTATATTATACTCTCGACTTGTTGAGCTCTGTCCACTAAGGCCCTTCGATCTTTTTTCAGATGAACTTTTGTCTAGCCACACCATCTCTATCTTGTACTTATGAAGTTAGTTCTTTGAATCCAAAAGTGAGAATTTACATTTATCCCTTCTAAGTTTTATCAAATTAGATTTGGCTCAATAATCTAGCATGTCAGAACCTTTTTGGATACTGATATTATCATCCAACATGTTAACTATCTTGTTAGCTTTTTGAAGGAAAGCCAAGATAGTGCTGGCTACTCAGCTTTTTGGCAAAGAAAGCATACCAGTGCAAGTCTATATAATTGGAGTCCTCTGTCACTATTGTACCATGCCTCTCTGCCAGGCTTGTGATGTTTCCGAAATTTCTCATTTCCTTTCTGTCCAGAAAAGATGTTGCAATGACAATATCAGTTCTGTTTCTGTCTCTGTTGATCTTTATGCAAATATTCTCCATCATGTTTTCTTCCTCAAATTCCTGGGTTTTTAAAAATAGGTATATATTGTAATATACAATGCTACTCCTTATCCCACTCTCTACCTTCTCCCCTTTTGCCCACCCTGTTCCTCTGAATCTCTCCAAAAGCAGTCACAGTTCTCATCCCATCAAGTCTGTGATGACCCTATGGTCAAATTTTTTTTCCTTGTATTGTTATCACTAACCTTCTTGTCTTTGCCCAAAAAGTATCTGATGTATGAAAGCATAGGTATCTGAGCCCATGGATTTTTATTGCTATTCCTTTTTTGGATTTTACCTCATTAATTTATGGGTATCTCTATTGCTGTTATTGGTAATTAGGGAGTTTTCTCCTTCTATGTTTTTTTTTTTTTTCATTATATCTCTTTTGAGAGGGGCAGCATGGGGTAGTGCAAAGTATCAAACATAGAGTCCTACAGCCCAACACTCCTCCAAACTAGATTAAAATGTAATTGGGAAATATTTAACAAAATAAAAATACAACATACATAGTTAACGTCAACATGTGGTTTTCTAAGTTGACACGAAGCCCACAGGCCCTGTTTCTATTTGACACCAATAGGGTAGTGAATAAAGCAGGCCTCAGAGCCAGGACGACCTAGGTTCAAGTCTCTGACACATACTAGCAGTATTATCCTGGAGAACTCACTTAACCTCTCAGTGTCCATAGGCAACTCTCTAAAACTATAAATTGCAGAAGATAATGGCCTACACTGGCAGAGGGAATTTCCTCACCTGGAAGTTACTGATGTTAATTAAATCACTGGTCTAGTCCCAATCTCTGCTGATTAGATTTGCAAGACTCCAGATAATACATTTTTACTAGTCTTATTAGGTCAATTTCCTCCCTGGCAAGAATCCATCATTCCTATGTTTTAACCTGTGGCCCAGAAAACCCAAATCCATCTGGATTGCCAGCTGTTCACTTTCTAAACTTACCTTTTCCTTCTGAAGGCTTTGTCTTCTATGAACAGACCAATGAAAAATGCCACTCGTACCCCTCAAGTCGTCAGTTTCTTGGTCATGACTCAGTAGCCCTTTGGCAATGCCTTCTGGTGGTATTGTTAGTACCCATGTAAGTCATAAGAAATGGGTGGTGCAGTCCTTGGGTTGGACAACTTTGGGGAGGTACTCCATGTTTTAGAGATGTGTGGCTTTAGAAAAAAGCAGACTTCTCCAGTGCCAATGGCAGGCATCACCAACCAACACTACTGGTCTCTTCCTATCATTCATTGGTCTGACAAAACCAACTCATGACTCCTAAGAGGACAAGCAACTGCTGCTTCTTAGAACCTCTTTCTGCTGATGATTCCATTGGTCTCTTCCACTTCCTCTTTTTTATCTCGTTTTTCCACTTGCCAAATTTCTGATACAGTTCAGGATTTTTCTCTGCCTCTTCAAACCCTTTTAATTTTGGAGGCTCCCACTTTTTAAAAAAGGAATACTTCATCCTCCTCAATAACCGGGGGAGCGAAGAGGTATTCTTTCAGGCTCATTCATTACCTTCTCTTCTAGAAGGGAGACTAGCATGCCCTTTCAGTACGATAGAAATTATTTGGCCATGACAGGAAGACAAGTACTCTTGTAAGTTTTGCATAACTCACATTTACACAGTGGTTTAAAAAGTTTGCAAAAGCATGGTACAAGTGAATCTCAAACAATCCCAAGGCTTTATTATTCCCATCTTCCAGATGAGAAACCTGAGATTCAGAGAAGTAGCCTATGTTAACCTTGGTGGATTACAAGCCTGTTTCTTTGACTTCATCCATTACCCAAATTCTCCTCCTCTATGATAGCAAGGCTTAGTAAGTTGCATGTTGACTTTAGCATCAGGAAAACCTGGTTGTGTGATGCTCAGCAAGAAACTTTGGTTCTCTTCATGAAACCCTACGTTGCAGGGAAGGTGTTGATTGGCATTGGTTAAGTAAACTGCCTCCTCATCTGGAGTTCCCTATATCAATTGCAATCCTACATCCATTCCTATCCTATTCCATCTCTGGTGGAAGTGAGATCATTGGTCCTGAGCCATTCTTACTATATCCCATTCTCCTTAGCTCTGCTTACCTTCATTAGTAGTTATGTCTCACGTTGGGTTATTCTGAATTGGGTTTGAAGTCAGGAAGACTTGAGTTTAAATCAGACTTCAGTTGCTTACTGTGTGACCCTGGGCAAGTCACTTAACCAACTCGCCTCAGTTTCTTTATCTGCAAAATAGGGATAATAATAGTACCTATCTCCCAGGGTTGTTTTAAGGATTAAATGACATGACTGCAAAGCACTTAGCACAGGACCTTGGCACACAGTAAGCATTATATAAATGTTAATTATTATCTACACCTTTTCACCTGGGCTCCCTTGTGATCAACAAATGTACTCCCAGGAGTATAGCTTGAAGTTCATAGCCTTGGCCTTGTTAGTACTATATATATCTTGTCCTCTGAGTTTACTGGTCCAGACTAAGGCCAATACCACAAAGCTGTATGGACTCCGTGCTCCGAATCTCTACGTGAAGATATACAGAGTTCCATGCATGCCCCTACATTTAAGCAGCAGGGTCAAGGGAAAAACTGAATAACAAGGCTTGAAACAGAACTGTTTCCAGCACGGGGTATACTAGGCGATATAAAGTAGGTAAAGCTCAGCAGGAAGAAAACCAAAGTAACTCATAAGAATGAGCAAAAAGATACAAGGATGTGGCAAGTGAAGTACAGGGGAAGCTGAGTGGTCGAGCCTAGGGCTGGGAGGTAGAAGGTAGCTTTTTCAGGTAATCAGCCGGACCATCTGGTCAACTTCTACGAGGTCCTTTAATACCTCCTGCACTGGACTGAAGGCAGTAATGAGAATTCCTAGAGCCTGGCATGGGTGATGAGGCTAGGGCACTTCTAAGGAATGCTCTCTTGTCAGGGGAAAATAACTACAGGGGGTAGGATAATTTCACCACTGAACAATTTTGCAGGTGATGCAGAAGTGATGAAAACAGTCCTCTTGTAAATGTCAAGAATCCTGTGAATCAAAGAGCTTTCAGTCTAATAGGTGGGAATACGACACGCATACAAATAACTATACTTTGATAGAATACTGTTAGGTACGTAATAGGTCAGTGAACTGACACACTTAGGGGAGATCATCTTTAACTAGGAGGATCACAGCAGGCTGCACAGAAGGAACAAAACCAAGCTGGGCCTTAAAGGGAGGATTTTAATAGTTTGAGATGGGAGTAGGAGTGGAGACATGGGCCTGAGAATATTTTCAGGAGGTAGACTATCAGAATTCATCCAAGCTAGAGGTCAGGATGGCAACGGGAGGAGAGGGGAGATTGAGAGGGGGCCACTTTGTTGCCTCTGGAACATAGAGTATGGAGAAGATTTGTGTGAGATAAGGCAAGAAAGATAGGCTGGAAATTTTGTGTGCCATAGCACAAAGAAATCTGAATTTTATTCAGCAGCCAATAGGAAACCACTGAAGGTTCTGAAGCAGAGGAACAACGTGATGAAACTTCTGCTAAGACGGATGTTGTTTATGGGTATTATTTAAAATCATCTCTTGCTATTTCTACGGCTGAGATTAACAGGTATTCTCACTACAGGTTACCGTCTTCCTTACCCAGCGTGTACTCAGAGATTGCAAGATGCTTACTATATGTTTAATTTATGCAAAAATTAAAGCCAAGAAAGCCCAGAGTTCCCACCAATAGTTTAAAATAGTTGTGTGCTTGGGGGCTGCAAGGTGATGCAGTTGAGAGAGCACCAGTCCTGGAGTCAGGAGGACCCAAGTTCAAATCTGAACTCAGACACTTGACACTTAACTAGCTATGTGACCCTGGGCAAGTCACTTAACCCCACTGCCTAGCCCCCCCCCCCCCAAAAAAAAGTCGTGGGCTAGTAATTAAAGCTTGGTCCTTATTTTTCCCATGTCCATCCTTAGGGGTACTTTTGAAAAAAGTCTTGCAGACACATCCTCCTCCCATTTCTCTGGGCAAGATCACATTTTATATCCATTTTACAGAGGAAATAACTGAGGCTGAATGGGGAGTAGCATGCCAGAAATCAGAGATCTTTTCCCTACACCATGCTGCTGCAGGGGTAAAAACCATTTGCAAGCTCAGGGATACAGAGAGATGTACAATATTGGGGCGCGTAGCTGCCCTGCATTCCTGACTTCCTCTCAGCGTCTCTTTTTCGACTGCCTCGGTAACCCTCTCTTGATTCATTCCTATTTTTCACATCTTCGTTCTAAGTGGTTCACTCCTGTGGTGTGACTATATGAGGTCTCCCACACAAGTCTTTTGGCCTCTGTGCCTTCACACTCCCTCTTCATTACTCTAAGAACAGAGGAGCATAGTGAGACCCATCTGGACTGCCTGGGGTTGGGGAGCGAAACTGTGCTATCTGAAAAAAGGCTCAAGTCTTCAGTGTAGGGGTGGGAGGCTGCTGAGACATGACTGGCCTAATGCTGGCCCTTTCCATCCACGTGACAATAAATTGTTAATGGCTACTCCACTGGATTTTCTTTCTTTCATCTTAAAGGGCTAGAACCTGAAGTAGAGACCCACAGGTCCTGTTAAGATTTCAGATCAAATGAACGATCGTGCCCTTGTCTACTAAAACTGCAAACCGTGAGCTGGGCCTCTATCTCTTAAATCTGTCCCACCACCAAACAGTCCCGGGAAGGCCCAGGCTATTGGCCCCCACTGCATCTGCAGCACACTCCACACACTGGTGGCCTTTACAAACAATACAAAAACATTTATTGCAAAAGATCAGTGGTTCAAATCAATTTGTATTAGGTTATAAAGTCAAGCTCCATGACCTAGGGCAGGTCCTAAGCTGCACCTGCCCTGAGAGGGGCTCAAGATCAACAAGGCACCAAAGGAAGTCCTTGGTTACCTAAGTCACCAAGCCCAGGGGAATGCTGTCATCCCAGGCCTCCCTGCAGAAGCGCCGCTGTGGCCCTGGGAGGGGCTCGGCCGTCTGGCGTTGAACGGTAGTGCAGCACGGAGGGCCTTCACTTCACGTTTCTGACTTTAGCAGGCGACTAGTCCAGTTCATTTTGATTCCATAAAGAACAGGCCCAGAGTGAAACACCCAAGAAACCCATTGTTTCCTACAGATGCTGGTGTAAAGAATTTTCCCTAGTGTGTGTTACCTCTGCTGGGTATGTTTTGGAATTTATGGTACAAAGTATCCAATGTGTATAGTTTAAAACCACCAAATTCTGTGAGCAACTTGCCCCCCATCAATGCACTGCTACACACGGGGCCTGCTGCTCATCAGAAAGATACTGGGAACCGTGCTCTCTCTCCCAAACTTAGCCATGGAGTCTCTGAAGCCCAGCTCCCCCCCAGGGACTGAGTCCAAGGGGCTCCTACAGGCCAAAATCTCTAAGACAAAGAAAGCTTCCTGAATTAGGATTTGGGGGCAGAAGAGGGTCTGAGGCAGAGGAGCCAAAGCAGCAGTCACCAGGACACCCCCAAAGTCCAGTGCCAGCCTGGAAGTTAGTATAATCTAAGTGGCTGCAAGCAGGGGAAGAGTCAGATCGGCAGTGTCTCTGTGGAGTTAGGTGTTAGGATCTTATTTAAAGAGATGCTGCTATCTGACCAGGAACAGAAGAGTTTCCGTATCAAGTTAGGCAAAGCTGGAGGAGGGACAGCAGATTTATCACCTGCTTCAGAATCTCCCAAAGGTATCAGCATTGCTCAGTCATCCTGGGGGTTACCTTATTTCCTTTCTCAAGACCCTCAGGGGCTCCTGCCAGCTTGGCTAGATGGAGATGCTCCTGGATAGAGGTAAGCGGTCCACCTCCCCCAACCTAACAAAGCAGCCCCAAACCCCATATGCCTTCTAGGAGGATATCTCAACAGAAATGGATTCAGTTGGCCCTACAGTAAAGTGAATGGCCTCCTGCTTAGCCTGGAGGGCTGGGCAGGGCCTAGAAAGGCTGTCTTTAGAGAAGCTTTGCCCAAGGCTGTGAACCCAAGACAGGGAAGAGGCAGAACCTGTTTGAACTCGGAGAGGCTCCTTGTACTAAGCCTTAGAGCAGATCTGCACAACTTGGCAGTAGGTAGGGGCCAAAATTAAAACAGGCTAAAATTCCTGGGGCTGCAGATAGGTTAGACTTGAGATAGACTGACGATGGTTGGTTGCCACGGAGACAAACAGGAGAGTGCTCAGTGGCAACCCTACAAGCGGCCAGTGGGCCGTATGTAGTGCAGGCCTGCCTTAGAGAGAAGCACCCCTCCACCCTACACCCAAGCCAAGGGAGTGGAGACACACCAAGAAAGCGAGATTAATGCTATCAAAGGTGTAATGAATTAGGCTTCCCCTGAATTACCTTTCCTAACTGTTCCTTATTCATAAGGAACATGAAAAAAATCTGAGAGACCGAGGAAGGCACCTGGAGAGAGACTTGGGACCAACGACTCCAATTCTTGTCTCCACAAGAGGAGGAAACTGCACTTCTGGCCTATGCTTAGGTCAGTGTGGAGAACACGCGAGAAGTAGAGCTTTCTTGGATTTTAATTTCTTCAGTTGGTTTCTTAAGGAGGAGGAAGAAAAACCAGGGGAAAAAACCAGACATCGTCTGCTGAAGAATTTATGCTTCTCTCTTGTATCTCAGCTCATAAAACCGGTCTTTAATGGTCTGTTCATTCTCACGCCGTGTCGGTCCCAGCCAGATCACCTGAGCAGTTAGGACATTCTCCTTCACTTTTTGCTTTGACAAAGACACTGGGCCAGGCCATTCTTGATTCGTGGGCCCAGTCAGCAGCACATAAGAGGCATGGTGGTTCTGCTCAAATAGCACTATGGCAGGGGAGACACAAGGGGTCAACGGTCTCTCTAGGGTTACTAGAATACCAGCCCTCCCACCCTTGCACCAAAGGATCTACACCCTGGAAAGCCCACCACATCTCAGGCTGCTACCAATTAAAACCAAAGCGGGGATGAGCATCCAGGTCCCTTGAGTAAGGGTTTCCACTTACCATTAAAGGCCACAATGTTCTTGGTAATGTTGGTGAGTTCCAAAAAGATATTGGGAAAAGTGGGGTGGAACATATACAGGTTTTTCTGCAAGTCAACAGTTTCCTACAGAGAACAAAAATGAAAAATCATGGATAGTTAATGTGCTTGGTGTACATCCTGATACACTCGGGACTCCTGCACACCTCTTGTGGGCCACCCCACCCTGGACCTCCCCACCAAGGGATCAGATAATTTGGCTAGAAGGAACCTTAAAGATCATCAACCCTTTGATTGTGAAGAGGAAAGAGGCAGAGTTGGGACCTGAACCCAGCTCCTCCAGCTCCAAAGCTCAGTTTTGACCTGCTCTTTCCTCCTACCATCTGGTTAGTGGTGCTCCAGAAGAAGAAGGCAGAACGTCGGTCTGCTGTCTTTACAGTGGCTGACTTGGGGGTCCCTGCAAATGAATTCAGGGTGTAGCTCCAAAGGATGGCTCCCGAAGCAGCATCCACAATCAAGATCTGAAGGCAAAGGGAGACATGCTGGGGAAAGTGCCTACACAAGAGAACGGGAGGCAGCTGGTGGGGCTCAAGATGGAGCTGCCAACTAACTTCCAGCTGGAGATTTTACTGGCCTGTCCCAGGGATTGCCCATATGGAGCTTCTTATAACAGTGAACTCCGCCATGGTAGAGACCACATTTCCTTCTATCTGTTAAAAGTCTACCAACAGTAGAGCCCTGTGGAAGAGAAAAGGTTTGGATAATGATGATGGTAACCCTGGGAAGGAGGAGCTATTATTATCTCCATTTTATGCAACAACCCTGGGAAGTAGGTGCTATTATCACCATCTCCATTTTACAGCTGAGAAAACCAAGGCAGAAAGGGATTAAGTGACTTGTCCAGTGTCATACAGCTCGGAAGTGTCTGAGATTAGATTTGAACACAAGCCTCTATGACTCTAGTGCTTCATCCCCTGTGCCACTCAGCTAGCTGCCTGCCATAAGTTAAGATATGGTCTCCAGCCCCCGTGGGGTTTACCACATAAAAAGAGGATATGACATGTTCACAAATAATATAAAATAACATTTTAAGTGAATTCTGGGGAACAAGGAGTGAGCTGTGATTTCATGCAAGGTAGATGGGATTCCCAGGTGAAAGAAATTCCCTCCACCAATAACAGGTCAGTGCCTTCTCTACAGTTCAGTCTAAGAGCTGCCCAGAGGAGCACTGAGAGGTTCAATGACTTCCCAAGGTCACACAGTCTCGTCAATGTCGGAGGTGGGATCTGAACAGAGGTCCTCCTGGTTCTGAGGCCAGTTTTTCTGTCTGCTGCGCTGGGATGTCTTTCAGTAATTAGAGAGCTGGGAACAAAGGGGAGAGAGAAGGAGACAGGAAAGGAAAGCTTCCCAGAAGAAGCAGCATTTGAAAAAGTGGGCTTTAAATGATGAGTAGGAATTCAACAGGAGGATATAGGGAAGAGGGCATTCTGAGCAAAGGCCGGGCATGGCAAAGCAAAGGTTATGTTTACAAGAACAGACTATAAAGAGAAGTGATCTGAATGGCCAGGCTGGGAAGGGCCAGGTGGGCAACCAAGAAAGGTTTTCTGAAGAATCCCCAGCTTCAGCCCTGCATCACCAATGGCCTACTGGACATTTCAAAGTCAACATGGCCACAACTGACCTGGACGTGGGTTCAGGAAGACCAGAGTTTAAATCCCATCTCAGACATGTATCAGCCGTGTGACCCTAGGCAAGTCACTTAACCTCTGCCTGCCTCTTGATTCCTCAACAGTAAAATGAGGATAAAAATAGCAAACTACCAACCCAAAGTTGTTGTGAAGATAAAATGAGATGTTTGTAAAGTGCTTCATAAATCTTAAAGCACTATGTAAATGCTACTTATTATTAGTCACCTCCCTATTTAAAAAACTCCAGTCGCTCCCTATTATCTCCAGAATCAAGTATCACATCTTCCCTTTGGCTTTTAAAGCCCTTCATAATCTGGCCCTTCCCACCTTCTTACACCTCACCCCCGCTCCACAACACTCTGTGACTCATGACACCAGCTCCCTTGTTGTCATTCCCAGAGAATGCTCCTCTCCCAACCTGGGTGTCTGCAGGGACCGTCTCCCCTGCCTGGAATGTTCTCCTTCCCCATTTCCATGGAAGGTACTACAATTCCTCTACTCTCTCAGGTCCATAACCCTGGTGTTAGCCATGACTCCTCACTCTCGGTCACTCGACACATTTAATCATTTGTCTTATGTTTTCTGCCTCCATATCAGCCCTCTGCATCCAGGCCTTCTCTTACTTACACAATACCACCTTCTTTGAGGCCTCTGACCTAGATGATTATAACAGCTTCCTAACTGGTCTGCCCAATCCAAGTGTCTCTGCTCAAGTCTATTTTACATGCTGCTACCAAAATGATACACCACATGACTCAGTAACTCCAAGGGCTCCCTCCTGTATCTGGAAGCCAACACAAAGTCCTCTGTTTAGCTTGCAAGGCCCTTCGCTCCTTGGTTTCCACCTATTGGGCACCATTCCCTCTCCTGCTCTCTGTGATGCAGCCAGAGTGTTTCTCCTCTTGGTCCCTCCCATGCCACGGATGTCTCCTGTCTCCATGCCTTTGCTTGGACTCACCCCATGCCCTCCATCACTCAGACAACCATGTTCTTCTTCCTTCAAGGTGGGTCTGAAAAACCATCCTCTAAACAAAGCCTTTCCTGATTCCCCCTAACTTCTAGTGCCCTCCCTTCCAAACAACCCTGTATTTAATGGCTTAGTATTTATTCCATATACAGTTATATACATACACAGAGGCAGTGTGCTCTAATGCATAAAGTACAACTATGAGGACAGGAATACTTCGGAGCTGAGGTGGATTGAATTCCAACCTCTGATATATGATGCCCAGGTGACCCTGGGCAAATCACTTTAACCTCTCACTTCCCTGGGCACCTCTCTAAGATGGTAAGTTTCAGAGAAGTTCTACCATCTGTAATGGCAGAGAGAGTATCCTACACCAATAAGAACATAGATTCAATTAATATATTATTACGCTTCCATTTCTGCTGTTGTTCAGTTGTTTTCATTTGTGACAAACTATACTGGAGTGGTTTGCCATTTCCTTCTCCAGCTCATTTGACAGATGAGGAAAGTGAGGCAAACAGGGTTAAATGACTTGCCTAGGGCCACACAGCTACAAAGCGTGTATATTTATTATTTCCTTGCTAGTAAATATTGTTTTATTCTTTGCATTTGTAAAGAGAGACCATACGGCACCTGCCATCTGAGGACACTTCTGTCACTTAGTCCTCTGGTTTCTCCAACTCGGCAGCATGAAAGGTAGAAGAACCCTCACACCACCTGACCTTCGTGGATGTGCAAATGCTGATCTGGCAGCAGCAAGAGACACTGAGACCCACTGAGCCACCCGCAGGAAAGGACTTCTCACAGAGGTGGCTGCCTCTCTGCCCATCTCTGCTCGCCGCAAGAGGCAAGGCACCACAAACCCTACCTTTCCTGACCCTGGGTGGCCTTTTTGCCCTTTCTGCTTGGCACCCTCCTCCCTTCATCACCCAGGCCCCTCTTACGCCAGAAGCAGGTCTCTTATTCCTTATCCAAGGAATATACTGGGTCCCAGCTCACTCTGGCTGCCCAGACTTATCTGCCTCAAGCTTCAGAGAAAGACAGGACTGAGCAAAGGAGTTTGTTCAAACCTTTCTTTGTTCACCGGTTCCATTTTCAAGGACTATAGCAAGTGCACCTGGTTTGTAGTAGCCAAGGACTGGTTTTCTGGAAGGATAAGAGTAAGGAGATCAAAATGGAGATTCCTACAGAAAGTCACTGGAGTAACTAATATTCCAGGAACAAGCATAGCAGCTGATTCTCACAGCCAGCCTATACCGTTCACAGACAATTTAAAACAAACTCAGTGAATGTCAGAGCTTTCCCTGCAAAGAGGCAGCGCAAAGCTCTTCCTCATTCCTAAGCACATAGTACCCCCGTGGCAGTGGCAGGTTTAATGGACGCCGTGCCCCCTCCCCCACTGTGAGCAGCACAGTCTAATGGAAAAAGAGGCGGTGGTTTAGAAGATCCCAGCGCTACCCCTTCCTAGCTGGGTGACCTGCGGCCTAGCATTTAACAAGTCTCACTTCTCATCTATAAAATAAAATAATACCTTACAATAGGACTGTTTGTAAACAGAAGTGCAGAGCAAACAGAAGGCGATAGTGTTATTTTACAAGGTCTCCTCCCCTTAATAATCTAAGCTGCCCCTCTCTTCAGGAAGGAAGGAAACAAGCACATTATTATAAGTGCTTACTATGTGCTAGGCACTGAGCTGAGCTTTAAAATTATCTCATTTGATTCTTGCAACAACCCTAGGAGGTAGGTGCTATTATCCCATTATCATCATCATCACCATTTTACAGCTGAGGAAACGAAAGCAAACAGAGGTCAAGTGGCCTGCATTCAGCTAGTAAGCATCTGAGGCTAGATTTGAACCTGGGTCTCCCTGTCTCCAAGCCTAGCACTACCCAGCTGCCCTGGCATGAGAAGGTATTCCTGCTTTTTTGAACTATCTCATACACAGAACACCAGTCCCCTGCTTCAGAGGCCAACGATACCTCACAACTTCAGATGTGTTGAGGGTCCACTTCGAAATAAGCGTCTGCCCATCCAGCAGCTCACATGCATCTGATTTCACGAGGAGTATGTCTTCCCCTGCACTCCCAGGTACTTTCATCAGGTAACGGATTGTTCCCCAGCTGAGTATAAATGCAGAGGGAAGGCCCAATAAGACAACAGAGAGGTTTCTTGGGAGGAAAAACACATTAGTTCTATAACTAGATCAAAACGTTTCCAATTCTGACAAAACTGAATTATGAAAGACAGAGGTGCTCATTCTGGTGAGAGGGACTGGCCAACCAGAGACAAGAAGAAATTTGGCTTTTCCATGTTTGCTCCCCACCTCTGGAGGCAATTGTCTGTATTATCTCTAATCATATAGTTACCTCCTTATTTTAGTTATTCCTCTTCTAAAACATTTGGAACACTGTCCTCTTTTTTAAAAAATTTATTTATTTTATTCTAAACCTGCAAATAATACTGCTTTGCCAGTTTATTTTGCTCAATTTGGAAAAGAAAAAGGACTAATTTTATACGGAAAACAAGGGACTTATCCCCTTCACTACTCTTCTCTATAATCCTTTCCTCTTCAACTACTATTTTCAATCAACAAGCATTTATTAAGACCAGGCACAGGATCTGATCACGCTATCCCGGACCTTTCCAGACTCGGCAAGTATTTTACCCGGTAGACAAGCTCTGAATGCTGGTACAGGAGGTTCTTCCCACTGACTCCAACTCTTGGGCTTCTCTCCATCCTCCCCTCCATATCACTGCACTTTTATTCTATGCTCTCTTCCTTCAGTGCCTTTTGCTCACACTTTTTCCAATATCTATAATGCCCTCTGTCTCCTCCCCCGATGGGTGTGATCTTTCACCCAATTTCATAGCATTTTATACCCCTCTTATTCATATTAGATATATGTGTGACCATGCCTTAGCACAGCCATGAGACTCTTTAAGTTCTTGATCACTGGGAACACGTCTCTTCTATCTTCCTTTGTGCCTAGCACTGCACACAGTAGGCACTTAGTATTTGCTAAATGGTCAATTCTTCTTTATTTTTCTGATTTTTATCTCTGCTTTTGTTTGTTCTTAATTCCTTAAGCCTTGACTATGATACGTAACACCAAGCCTCTTCCCTTTAAACTCTTTAACATTTTTAGTCTTCTCTGTGGTCTTTTACATAGGCTTTTACATAGGCCTCCATATATACCAAAATACAGAAGCACTTTTTGTGCTAATAAAGAAATGAAAGCAAAGGAGATGCCCATCAACCAGGGAATGGTTAAACACTCTATGGTACATGAAGATACCATAAAGTAGGACTTCTTAACCTTTTTGGGGTCACGGACCCTACCCTTTCGGCACTCTAATGAAGTCTATGGACAATGGCTCAGAATCATGTTTTTAAATGAATAATATAAGCTACAAAGGATTTCAAGGGAAATCAATTAAATTGAAATATATAGTTATCAAAGTATTAAAAGGGCCAAATTCGTGGATCCCCAGGTTAAGAACCCCTAATGTAATGGAATACGATTATGCTGTAAGAAAAAATAAATATGACTCTAGAAGACTTATGTGAACTGGCAGGAAAAGAGAAAAAACAACAAAACAATCAAAACTAAATGTTATGGCATTGTAATGCCCAAGCCTGACCCTCATATGAGGAAGCACTTTCTTTCTTTGAAAAGGAAGAGACTTGGGGTATGGAACACTTTATTATAATGTCAGACTTTTTCAATGTGCTAGTTAGTTTTACTGAACTGGTTTTTCCTTTTTTTTTTTTTAAACCAGTCATAATGGATGGCTGTTTGGGAATATGAGGGGGAATATACTGTGAAATATAGGTGAAATAAAATAAAAGTTACCAGTAGTAATTTATTTTAAAAACATTTGCATGAGTCAATTACTTTTTTCAGCAGGGAGTTCCCCTCCTCCACAGAGGAATGGAAGTGCAAGAAAATATGACTGTATACAAAATGAACCTGTGAGAAGGAGGTATTCTGTGGGTAGCATTGTCAATCATTATCTTCCAGTAAGGATCTTCCTCAAATTTGTTCTTTTTTCCAGTCATTTGCTCATAAAGATCCTTCAGAGAATATCCATAGAGGGAAGATGCTGCGTAAGACAAAAATGAATCAAAGGTCTGGGTCTAGGCAGTGGCTCACAAGATGCAGGGCTAAAGAATACCAATCTTCTACCAAAGCTCACGTACCAAACTCTTAAGGGTCTTTGGATTGGGAAGCACAACATGTGTTCTAGGCAACATGGAAAAGTGGACTTAGCAGTCAAAAGGCTTGGGTTGGAGTCAGGGCTTTTATACCTACTAAAGTGTGATTATGAGCAATTAATTTTTTCTTCCGAGTCAATTTCTTTCTCTATAAAATGGGAAGAGTAACCCATTTTGATGGGCTATTGCAAGAAAAGTGTTTTGGATTAAGAGAAACTATTATTATTATTTTCCCTCCAACAGTCTTTAAAGAATTTGTATAGAATTTGCATAAGAAGAATTCAGGGGATCTTTTTGAGAAATTGTCAGACGACCAGCAAAGATGGCAGAGTACGAAGAAGTAGTATGGCTGAGCTTTCCCCCACAACCGAATGGGAAATCCAGAAAAAACTTAAAAACAAAAATAATTCTGAGTCATTTTTCCAGCCCAGGTTATCACTGGGACACAGGCAGAGAAGTCTGCAGACTCTGGGATGGGGTATAGCCAGGAATGGCCAAGTAGCATTACAGGCTAGACCCTGGAGGAAGGCCATATGTGACTGTGCACCAGGGCAATAAGGAATAGAAGTGGGATCCAGGGCAGATTGAGAAAGGAACCTATAACTAGGGGCGGCATTCCAGGATAAGCAGTTGTAGGATGTAGGCTGTGCACCGAGTGTGGAGTAAGTACAAAAAGCATGTAGCAGCTAAGTGGCTCTGGTCCCAGGATAGGAGCAGGATCTTAGATCTAGCCCTCAGTCCAGTCTGAAGCCTGCAGTGGAATAATGAGGACAGTAAACCCAAACCAAAGGGGAGTTTGCAGTTCTGTCACTCAGAATCCACAGAGTTTTCCAGTTGGTTGATGGTGCAGTCTAGCAGGGAACTCCAACCAAGGGCAGGCACACAGCTGAATGGTCATACCTAAGCCAATGTAAGAACTTGCAGAACTCAGACCAAGAGGCCAAGCATTCAGACTTACTCTAGATCAGACCATTTTGAGAGCACTCAAAGTTAGAAAGTCCCTGGCCTTCAAAGGAAACTGAAGTTCCCAAGAGGTGGAGATAAAGAAGGACAGAAGCATGGAGAGTGGAGAGGTCAAGCTGAGAATGGTAATGTGTAGTGGTACAGTTTGAATTTCCAGAAGCCATTTCAGAGCCTTGAATATAGAAGGATACAACAAATGTCTGTTGAATTGAATTAATGGATGAGAGATACTGCTGACAGAGAATAAAAAGATAAGGCACTGGAAGTAATGCAACATTAGACAAGTCACTTAACCTCCTTCATTCTCACTTCCCTCACCTCTAAGATGGGGGCGCTGGACTAGGCGGGTTCTGAGGTCCCTTCCAGACGCACTTCTGCAATCCCGAGACGCTAGGAATCTGAGTGAGTGATAGGATGGTTCACAGTTTTCACTTCTGTGATCCTAAGACGCTAGGAATCTGAGTGAGTGATAGGATGGTTCGCAGTTTTCTCTGGTAGAGTTGTCTGGATAAGACTATGGTCAGAGGGGTTATTACATAGGGGTTATTCAGAACTGAAGATTAGCAGGGTAGGAACAATGGAAGGTCAATGGAGCAAGGGACTGAAGGGTATAGGAGAGAGCACTCTTGAAATAGTTAAGTCAGGACTATGTAGAGAAGAAAGTGAGATTGGACCTGGGCCAAATGGAAAAAGAGAGTGCCAAGAGACTGAAGGTCATATTGAGGGTGAAAAACAAGCCTGGGAAAAATAAAGGAGAGGGAGAGGAAGAAAGAGAGGAGATTATGGTTAGAGAGAGGAATTTCAGCATTGGGGATCTGCTAATGGAGTGTCTTTGAAAGACAGGGAGGTCTAAGCTGTGACCACCCTGGCCGCTGGCTAAAGTAGAACAAAAGTGGAGGTCACAGTACGTGAAAAGTTCAAGAAACAGAAGGACAGAGTATTTGAAGGATACTCAGACATGATGTTTTACTTGTCGACACATTTTCAATAAAGAAAAGATAATATTCTTAAAAAAAAAGTTAGAAAGTCCCTAGCCTAAGCTATTATCGAGATCCTGGAATAACATACCTAAGAAAGCAGCAGCTGGAGGACCAAACGGACACAAAGCAGGATTGAAAGACAGCCCAGCCATTCCCTTCAGAAGCACAAACAACTCGGCCCTAAGGCAAAGTCCAAAGTTAGACTGGAAGAATAAGCAAACAAAAAAGGAACCTCATCATAAAGAACTATCACGGTGATAGAGATGCTCAAGACACAGATCTAGAAGAGAGTGACTCCAAAACATCTACAAGCAAGCCTCACAGAAAAACATAGCTTGGATACAAGGTTAGCTAGAATTCCTGAAGAGATGAAGCAAGAGTTTGAAAAGACCTAAAAATGATTTTATAAATACAATGAGTATACTAGAGGAAACAACTAGAAAAGAAGTAAGAGTGGCAGGGAGAAAAATTGGAAAAGAAATGATAGCTATAGAAGAATTGGAAAGATAATCAACAGCCTGGCAAAAGAAGTGTAAACCCTCACCCAAACAAGAGACTTCTTGAAAATTAGAATGGACCAAAGAAAAGTAAATGACTCCATAAAGCAACAAGAAATATTAAAACAAAGCCAAAAGACTGAAAAAATAGAAGGTATAAGGTATCTCATATCAGAAATTTACCTGGAAAAAACAACAAGGAGAAGCAATTTAAGAATCACAGGACTGCTTAAAAGCCATGACCAAAAAAGGACTAGATATCATATTAAAAAAAAAAAACCACAATAGAAAATCACTTAGAACTAGAGAGCAAAGTAAGACTAGAGAGAATCCCCTGTTTACCTCCCTCAGAGAAACACAAAAATGAAAACTCTCAGGAACATCACTGCCAAAATCTAGAGCTTCCAGGTCAAAGCAAAAATCCTGCAAACAGCCTAAAAGACAGGATTCAGGTATTGTACCAGGATCACACACAATTAGCAGCCCCTCTGTGAAGCAGTAGAGACTGGAATATTCCAGAAGGCAAAGGATCTAGGTTTATAACCAAAAATAATTTACTCAACAAAACTGAGTATAATCATACAGGGGAAAAAAACAGGCCATTAATGAAATTAAGCATTCCTGATGAAAAGATGAGAGCTGTGTAGACACAGGAGTCAAGAGAAGCATAAAAGGGTAAGCATGAACAAGCAATGAAGGGCTAAATGAGGATGACCTGATTACGTTCTAACAAGATAGATAAGGTTTTCCTCAAAACCTTGTTGTCATCAGGGATTACAGAGAAAGCTTAAAAAGACAGGGGTGGGGGGGGACGGGACGGACAGACACAGACTCAGAATGTTTCTTTAATGTTTTGATGCTCTTAAAATAAGAAAGGAAAGGGAGGGGAAAAGGAATACACTCAAGGGGAAAAGGTGAGGAAAATTAACTGACATAATTTGGGTGCACAAGTAAAATACCATACAAATGAAGAGGAAGGGGTGAGGGAAGCCAGTGACACTCAAGCCTCATTTTCATCTAAACTGGTCAGAGGAGGGAAGAAAACACATATGGAGTTGGTTGTAGAAATACACGTCACGCAACATGGAAGAGGAAGGAAAAGGAAGAAGGGAAAGGGAGGCTAAAAAGGAGGACAGATTAAGGGAAGGATAAGTTCTAAGCTAAACAAGCTGTAACTAAAGAAGTGTCATCTCCAAATTGAGAGCACAGAGTTTTAAAAGCAAAGAGAGAGAGGAACCTATGACTGGCCTCTGGACAAGAGGAAGAGAGAAGGGGAGCAGGGAGCAAAGGCTGAATGTGACAAACCTAAAACTCTGGCATGGAGAACGTGCCTTTTCTTACCACCCTCTTCTTCATAAAGGGGGAGAGGGAAACTCTGATCAATATAACACCTAACCAACCAGAGGACCAGGATGAAACATCCCACCATCCTCCTGATGGAGAGGTGTTAGATTTAATGTGCAGAGTAAGACACCCATTTTTACAGAGCCAATGTGGGCATTTGTTTTGCCTAACTATGCATATTTCCTACAAGAGATTTCCTTTTCTTTTTCTCAATGGGGAGGAGGGGAGAGAACATTATAAATGCTTGTTAACCAAAAAAAATTTTTTAAAGAGAGGTCCAGTACAAAGAAAAAAAATACCGGAATGAAAAATAATGTAGTAGGCTCCAGTGTTTGTGACATGCATGACATAACCAACATCTCCTTCTAGATTTAGGCGGCTCACGAAACCAACTTGTTCACCAGTACTGCTTGAAAAGAGGTAACTTTTAATCTGGAAGAAAAAGAATCCCCCCCCCAAAAAAATATATCAGGACAGTGCAGTTATTCTCGTGCCACTGAAAAGTTAGGTGGAACAGTGGATACAGCACTGGGTCTGGAGTCAGGAGACCCAAGGCCAAATCCAATGTCAGCACTTAGCACTGTGAAAAAACTGCAGGTTTGGAAAATCTTTCTTATTTAAGAGTTCCACCTCGTAAAGATTTCCCTCAGAGGCCTGAAACAGAAATGGAACTAGGCTAAAAAAAATACAAACATTGAAATTAGCCACCGTGGTAGATGTGTAAATGCTTCGGCAAAGGAAGGGGCACATTTCAGAGGCAGTTATCCTGCAAAATTTGAAAGAAGAAAGAAAAAAATATTATCTGTCTTTACCCCCTGCAGAGCCAGACAACCTCCACCTCCCCCTGCTGTCTATGAACAGGACCCTGAGCCTTAACTCAAGAATCTGTAACTAAAGGAAGACAAAAGAAAGTGGAAGAAAAACACAAAGGAGAAAATAAAGGAGGGTGTGTGTGTGTGTGTAGGAATAAAGAGAAACCCAGGAATTTACAGCTGGTTTTGACTAAAGGCCACTGAAATAGTATAGAAATAATATTTGTAAAGTGCTTAGCACAGTGCCTAGCACATACCAAGCACTATATAAATGCCAGCTACATTATTATTCTAATGTCAATTTACTCTGGAGCTGTAGGCCTGTGGGTTCCAAACTCAAATGAGTCAGGACTTAGTTTACTGATGGAGTAGTAAGAAACAATTGTATCTGGAAAGGGAAGCAGGGAGGGGGACAGAGGAACCCCACAATATGGCAATAATGTTTTCCATCGCAGAAAACGTATCTCATTGCTTGGAAGAGAATTCCTTCTCTTCCACCAAAAAGTATGAAAGAAATGTTTGTACCTCTCTCCCCGATTTGAGGAAGAGTAGCAGGTCTTGAACCTCATCATCAGTCACATCAGGTATATTCAGGAAGGGGGTCAGTATTGAGGTATTAACTCCAAAGCTCGAAGGCAGTTTCCACAGTATTTCCCCTTAAGAGAAAAAAAAATGTATTAACGGTGAGCAATGGCTTTAAAAATCAACTCTTTCTTCAAAAATCAATATTCTAAGAGACCCTAAGATTTCTGAGTGGAGATTTCACAGTGCCAGTAAATGCTTGTTAAATTGAATTCAATTTCAGGACTTGCTGGTCCCAATTTCAGTAACAAATGATGATTACGTTTGTATAATATTTCACACTTTTCAAAAGGGCTTTCCAAACATTAATTCTTATCTGAAAGGCACAAGAGTCAGTTAAGCATTTCTTAAGCACCTACTCTGTGCCAGGCATTGTGCTGGAGCTGGGGTATGAAGGAAAGCAAAAGACAGGCCTTGCCCTTGAGGAGCTACCAGTCATTTAGAGGAAACAACATGCCAACTACTACTTACCAACAAGCTAGAAACAGAAGGAAGCACCAGAACTAAGGGGGCTGGGAAAGGCTTCTTGAAGAAGCTAGATTTCAGATGGGACTTGAAGGAGGTCAGGAAAAGCCACAAGGCAGAGAAGAGGAGGGAGATCTGTGGGCATGGGGGACAACCAGTCAAAAGGCTTGGAAAGCTGGGAAATGGAGTGCTGTGTGTGAGTGAGGAACAGCAAGGAGGGCAGTGTCATTGACTCCCTGAAGAACCCTCAAGTAAACCAGATGTAAGAAGACCGCAAAGGTGGGATGGGGCTAGGCGGAATGCCAAATGAGACTTTATATCTGATCCTAGAAGTGATAAGGAGCCACTAGAGTGTGTGTGTGAGTGAGTGTGTGTGTGTGTGTGTGTGTGTGTGCATGTGCACACACAAAATAATCAGACCTCTACTTCGGGAGAACCAATGTGACAGCTAAATGGAGAATGGCCTGCAGCGGAGAGAGACCCGAAACAAGAAAGCCCGACCAGAAGCCTCTCATGACAGGCTAGGAGGGAGGTTACGGAGAGATAAAACAAAGCAACTGGGAACAGAATGGATAGGAGGGTGAAGAGCTGAGGAGGACACCTTGGTTTCCCGCTTGGGAGCCTTTGGAGGGAAAGAGAACCAGTTCTGTTTTGGACAGGAGTACAAGATATCTACAGAACATCCATTTCCAGATGTCCAATAGTTAACTGATCTATAGGAATGGAGGTCAGCAAAGAGGTTAAGGCTGGATAAGTAAATTTGAAAATCATCAGGATAGAGACAGCAGAGCCCTGTGGGACACCCAGAGTTGACCTAGGGCATGACCTAAATGAAGGTCCAGCAGAGGAGGCCGAGAAGGAGCATTCAGATAGGCAAGGGAGAAGCAGGAGAGAGCAGGGACTGACTGGAGAGGGTGGAAGGTGGGGATCAGAGAGCTCCTCCTAGATCCTCCATTTAAGGACAGGGCCCAAGACGTTCATTTCATAATCTCCCATGAGGCTGCAGTATTTCATCCTGTCCCTGCCTCAGTACCTTTTCTCTCTCTGATCCCACTTCCCCATTCCTGCCATTTTTTAGCTTCTATTTAATTTTTAATGTGCTGTCTTGTCTCCCCCCTAGTTAGATTGTGAGCTCCTTGAGGACAGGGATTGTTTTTAGCTTTTCTTTGTAAATACAGAGGTTAGCATAGGACCTAACACATAGTAGGCCCTCAAATGTTTGTTGACTGACTAGAGGTTCAGTGTATGCTCATCAAGATAAACAGGGAAAATAACACATATAGTACTTAGCCTTTATAGAGTTGTGGAGAAAGCACTTTGTAAACTGTAAAGAGTTATTTAAGTGTAAGCTATAATTATTATTCTTGGTGATCTGCAGACAAAAAGCTAGCTATTGGTATTATAACCATTTGGATCTACTGAATTTCTCAGGACAAAAACCTTGATACTAAAACTCTTGTTCTAATCCTAAATCTCTTTACTCACATAATTTTCCTTTCCCACCCCATAAAATTTCTTCGTTCCCTGAAATTATTTCTACTTCTTGCTCTTTTCTTCTCTTTCATACTCTGTAAGCTACAATTAATAGGGAAGTTCTGAATCAGCTATTCACACAGGGAATATTGTGGAGCCTGAAAACATGCTCATCTATCTCTATCCTAAAGGCCAAGGAGTTTGCAGTCTCACTTTTAGGTTTATTTAGCTGATTTCCCCAAAATCAGAACAATAAATGCTCTCCAATATTTATTTTATCAACTTGTTTTAAATAGTCAATCCCAAACCATTCTTATCTCATATTTGCTGACAAGCTATTCTTATCCCATGTTTTAGAGGTACAAAGTCAACTTCCTTTCCTTTCCAGATGCTTTCCTGGACTTGAGTCTATTTTACAGGATCCATCTATAATTTGAAGAGGGGACTCACACAGCCAAATTTTAGTATAGGGGTCAGTGGCCTATAGCATGCCTACTAAAGGTGCTCAATGGCCAAGGTTGTATAAGGAAGTACACACAGGCATGCATGTGAGAGAAGAGCTTGTCCTGCTACCCTCTTTCTCCTTCCTATTTCTACCAAATCTAAGACTTCCTAGGGACTATCTATGATTTATTTTACTAATAGGTGCAACCAAGAACTAAGGCAACCCCAAAATTGTCTCTGCTGAAGAGCTCAACCCCGTAGGCTGGGTAGGATCAATTTGAGGTCATCATGAAAAAGAAACAAAAAACTCACATTGGCAATGGTTTCTCCTTCACAAACCAAGGGCGACCCACCCAGGGAGCACCATAACTCCTTTGCATCTGGGTTTAGATTATATAAAGAATATATTCCTGGCACACAACATCTTAAATTACGTTGAATAAATGAAGTCATAGCATGGTTCTTTTAAGAGGGTGCTGACCCCTTTTTAGAAATTTAATTAAAAAATCTACAACATAAATCTTTGAAGATGAAAATGTTGTCTTTTTTTGTCATTTTCTCCCCTCTGACGTCTAGATCAGCACTTCTTAAACTGTAAGTCACAACCCTATGTGGGGTTGTATGGGATTGTGAAAAATTCAGCAACAGTAAATGGTTTCTGAACACACAATGACCAAAAATTAATTAAAAATCAAGCACGTAATGAATCTGAGGTGTTTCTAGCACTGCTTGCCCATGCTGCATCAAACAACTTCACTGCACCTTTGTTTCTGAACACAAAGCATGCACACCTTGCACTGTGCATACCCTCAAGCCACATAACACCGAGGAATGCCGCTTAAACGTGAAAAGGGGGTCGTGAGTGGAAAAAGTTTAAGAAGCCCTGATCTAGAAGATGCCCAACACAGCAGGTACCTAATAAACAGTTAACTGGAACTGTCAAGATTTTGACTCCATTGGATGCAATCCTCCCACGACGTCCCCAAACTTCCCTAAAAGACCATGAAAGTTTAGCAGAGAAAATATAAATATGTTCCACCTGTTTTTCCTACCTGTGGAAGAATCAACTGCAAGGAAAGAATTATATTTCCCCACAATGAAGCAGCCTGAGAGTGGGGGTGGCCCCTTGGTCGTCTGGTGATCAAAACATTCCATGTTGGCCACCTCCTGAGCTACAGGCTTCTCCCAGAGCAGGCTGCCATTGGCGCCAGACACCGCGGCCAGAAAGACGCATGGAGAGAAGCCTAGGAGAGGAAACCCAAAGTCACCGTCGGCATACACACTTGTGTTTGTTACTCGGTCCATTTGTTAGAAGGAGCACTATAATTACCTCTTAATCCCCAGGTACTTCTGATTTTCCTTTTTAAAGTGGAGTCTTTACAGGGTTTAGATCCTGCCACATCAAACTCATGCATTGTTTCCCCTAGAGCCTTCATTCATTGGGAACATTCCCCAAGATTCTGACCTTGCTTCTTTCTCTCTGAACTCTGTCCACTGGCAATTTTATCCAAAGGATTTAGAGCTAGAAGGAGCTTTAGAAATTAATCTATTCTAGTTCTCTAATTTTACAGAACGAATCTGAGGTGCAAAGACATTACATGGCCAACACAAGGTCACACTGCTGGAACATAGCCAAGCCAGGATTCAAATTCTAGTCTTCTGACGCCAGGGGTAGTGTTCTTTCAATTACACCATGCTGTTTGTGGGCTACATCGCTTCACTACCACTTCCACGCAAATTACCCTCAAGTCTGTATCTTTGGACCCGTATTTGGGGGGGTGGATTAGGCAATGGAGCGAAGTGACTTGCCACAAAGCTAGTACGTATTATGTGTCTGAGGCTGGATTTGAACTCAGGTCCTCCTGAGTTTACGCCTGGTGCTCTATCCACTGCATCACCTAGCTGCCCCTCCAATATTCTTTCTTGAACACTGGTCACAAATTTCCAACCATACATCTCCACCTAGATGTTATGACTGAGGTTCTGACATTTCCATATTCCCCACACTTCCCAATTAACAATGATAGCAATCTCCCAGGCTAATAATAAGAATAGTAGCTAACGTGTATATTGCACTTACTATGTTCCAGGCACTGTGCTAAGTGCTTTACAATTATATACATAATATATTAATATTATATATGATATTAGTACATTATGTCAATATATGCTTTCCCCTAATTACATGTTAAAACAATTTTTAAACATTTTTTAAAAAAATGTTTAAAGTCTGAGTTCCAAATTCTATCCCTCTCTTCCTCCTCTCCCCTCTTCCTCAGATGGTAAGCAATCAGATATAAGTTACACATGTGCAGTCGTGTAAAAATTTCCACATTAGCCATTTTGTACAAGACTCAAATAAAGAAAAAGAATGAAAGAAAGTGAAAAACAGCGCTTTACACTTATTATCTCATCTGATGCTCACAACAACCCTGGGAGGTAGGTGCTAGAATTCTTCCCATGTTTTTACAGATGAACAAACTGAGGTAGAGGTGAAGAGACTTCCCCAAGGGTCACACAACTACTGCCTGAGGATAGAATCCCCAGGCATCTTTGATTCCTCCTTTTTCCTTGCCACTGATTGTCACCAAGTCCAATAGAGTCTACTGAGGCAGCATGGCCAAGTGCATAGAGAGCTGGCCTCGGAGTAAGGAAGATCCGTGTTCTGCTTGCATGGCTGAGGGAGCTTCCTATCCCAATGAAATCACAGGGACCGTCCCTAGCCCTATCTCTGAATAGATTCCATCTTTCCTTTGTCTTTTCATCTGTCTCATCATTCTCACTCCTATGTCCGCCATTCTAGTTCAGGTCTCTGCTACTTCCAACCTGAGCTACCACAAAAGCCCTGCACAGGTCTTCCTACTCCAAATCACACTACCATTCAAAATTTATATTTTGGGTCATGTCTCTCCTTTATTCAAAAACCTTCAATGGCGCTTTATCCTAGATTATGTCCAAATTCAAATCGTATTATACTTAAACAGTCTAGGATTCCAGCCCCACTGCATTTGAATATCAGTATATTTTTCTAGCTCTCCCAAATATATATATTTTTTATTTTTTGTTCCAGGCAAACCTTATGTAAAATTGCCCCAACCAACATAATTTCTCACATTTTCATAATCATAACCAAGCCCTATACTAAAGCAGTAGTTCTTCACTATAATATCCTTCACCCAATCCCCTGAAACCAGACAATCTCAGGCACATTCCAGTCTAAACTTATATTCCCTCCATTCCCACCTAAAACTGGTCTGGGGGTTCTTAACTTTTTTTTGTAGCACAGACCTCTTTGTCAGTCTGATGAAGCCTATGGTCCCCTCCTTCTCTGAATGTTTTTAAAAGTACAAAATAACATAAGATAACAAAGGAAACCAATTATATTGAAATATAAAATTATAAATTTTTTTTTGAAGTTTACAGATTCCAGGTTAAGAATTCTTTCATTAAACTAAACTTCTTGAGGTCAGAAAAATCTCTCTATTTTTGTCCCCAGCCACAGTACCTAGGATCGTGAAATACACCAGAGGTGTCCAACTCATGGCCTGCAAAACTCTCAAGTGCAGTGTGAACTAGGTTAAAATGTAATTGAGTAATGTCTAACAAAATAAATAAAAATAAGCATACACACATAAATATGCATTTTTATTTTACAAATAAAACTGTAACAGGACACAGACAATGTTAATTTGCGGTTTTGTAAGTCAATAAGTGGTGCAGTGCTCCACTTCTATTTGAGTTTGATCACTGATCTACACATCTTAGACACATCAAATATTTGTCAAATGAACACATCATGTATGCCTCCTCTTTTTCCAGGCTTATGTGTCTTCAACTGATCAGCAGAAACACTGCTCCACAATCATTACTGACAAATTCAGCCAACTTATATACTAGGTGCCAAACACTTACTCTCTGGACTAATGTTTCTGCCAGAAAAAGGAAAGGAAGTTTTTGTATCTGATTATTCAGAATAATGCCTGAGAAGCCATTGTGGGTTCTCTTCCTTCTTCCTACCAACAAGCAAAATTACCTTCATCTGCGCAGGATATGTTAAAACTGCTGCTGCTGTTGCTGTCTTTATAAAGAAAAATAATATCTTGAACTGTGTCTTCGTTTATATCTTTAAATGCCATGAAGTCATAGGATACTGAAAAAGAGTAACAAGTATCAACAGCCATCCTTGGGTGAGCAGAGCACTGGTGAGGCCTCAGTGACCATTGGATTCATCCCCTCTTTATTTCACAGATGAGAACATGGAAGCCCACCAAGGGAGCCCAAGTGACTTGCCATCACCTGGGGAGTAAGTAATAAGTCGATATGAATAATGACTAGGTAATTAATATTCCCCTTTAGAATAATTTTTTGTCCCTTCTAAATTTACTGTTGCCCTTCTGTTTATTTAATATTTCATTATCCTCTTTTTTGTCACTTTCATTATTCATTAACTCTTTCCCTCCCCAGCCAAACAAATAAGTATTGCCAAGCAAAACAAATGTGTACATTAGCTGTGTTGAAAACATATGTCTCATTTCACACCTCTAAGTCTATTATCCCTCTGTGCAGAGGTGGGAAGAATGCTCCATCACTAGTCTTTTGGAGTCATGGCCGGTCATTTGAATTAAGCAGGTTTCTTAAGTCTTTCAAAGTTTTTCTTCATAAAATTGCAGTTGCTATTTATTTAAACAGTATTTAATTTTTTCCAATTACATGTAAAGACAGTTTTTAACATTCATTTTTATAAAATTTTGAGTTCCAAATTTTCTCTCTCCTTCCCCTCCTCCCTTTTTAAGATGGTAAGCAATAAGTTATTTATGTGCAATCATGTAAAAAAATATTTCCATGTTAGTCATGTTGTGAAAGAGGAAACAGAACAAAAGAAAAAAAACACACCAAAAAAAGTGAAAATAGTACGCTTCAAAAAATTATATAATTATTGTAAAAATGATTCTCCTGTGTCTGCTGCTTACTTCACTCTGCACTGGCTCATATTCCTAGGTTTTCTGAATCTGTCTCTTTCATAAGTTCTTACAATACAATAATATTCTATTAATTCATATATCATAATTAGTTCAGTCATTCCCCAACTGATAGACATCCACTTTGTTTCCAGTTCTTTACTACAACAAAGAGTTCTGTTAAAAATATTTTTGTCCATTATGGGTCCCTTCCGTCTGTATATGACTTCCACAGCTATTACTTTAGACACATGCAATAATCTGCAAAGGAAAGAACAGTTCTAAAAATAACATAACAAAGAACTTTTGGTAAATAAGGAATATCATAACTGAAGCAAAGACTTTTCTTCCTTCTGCCAGGTCCCCTTTCTACCCTTTTCATTCCTATCACTTTGGGATGGGAAGATGGAGCAAAGGGAAAGGAGGAAAAGCTCTGAAATGTTAAATCTCTGTTAACTATGTGAAAGAGGACAGATGACCAGAGATGGAAAAATAACTCTGTAACTTTTCTGTTCCATATTTAGCACTTCCTCAAGATAAGTAGAGGGCATTTTACTCCTCTTAGGAAAAAAATGTAACTATTTCTTTTCCCTTCTCTTTAACCGAGGGACCCAGTGGACATCAGAATGAGTTTAAAGACCAACAAAGCCAGCTCTAGTTGTGAAGTATCTAATCCCCAAACTCAAGAGAAGTTTATTCCTGAAGTTGTTTGGCTCCATTTCTGACCACGAATGATGATCCTCTAGAGTTCAGTAATAACAACTCACATTTACACAGCATGTTATAGCTTACAATGCTCTTTACACATGCTCTATCAAGAAGCCCTCTCAAGACTGAGCACAAAGAAGCATTCTCAAAATTATTCAAATTCATAACCACTCAAATAGTACCACATGCTCCTGTTTTCCTGAGCATTATGAAAGAAATGGAATGTCCTGAAAAGACTGACTCAGTCACTGTATTCAATAGTCAATTTAAGGAAGCTGGAAGCTTCCAGTTTCAGTGAGGGAGGAGAAGAGTGTCATTTATGCTCTCTATACTTGCAGATTAAGGGCTATTGGTGGCACCTTGGTCAAACAGTTTGTAAAACAAAATTTACCAGGAATCACTTTTTTTCCCCCAATTAATTAAGTTTTAGTTTTCAACATTCACGTTTATAAGATTTTGAGTTCTAAATTTTTCTTCCTCCTTCCCCAAGACAGCATGCAATCAGACATAGGCTATACATGTACAATCATATTAAACATATTTCCACATTGGTCAATCATTCATGTTTTTTATGGCAGGTTTCATGTCTACTAGCCCATTTGTGAGTAAATTTGTGAGTCCAATTGTATTCATTTTAACACCTGGCTATTCACAAAATGAAGAGCAGGTCAGTTAAATTTGGGGGTGGGATGATTATTTCTCATGTCTTCCTTGTAACAGCTTTTTTTTTTTTTTTTACAGCTTCTTTCAACTACAAGGAAGCAATAGTAACCGTCTGGGACCCATGTTCTGAGTCATTGATTCAAACACAGAGAAAAGCATAATTCCAACCCTGAACACAATATAAGATAAGGGTTGTTTGGCTCTTCATAATAAAGTCCAGTGGAAGGCAGAACAAGGCACAAATGAACATACTTACAGCCAACTTACCTGCTGTGTTATAATTTATTTCCCACATTTTTTGTGATATAGGCCGATCTGGACATGGGATGATGAATGAAATGATGAATACCACAAAGAGGCAGGTAAATAACAAAAAGAAAAAAACCACTGTGCGGCACTGGGCAAACCGGGAATGATGAGATGCTTTCTTAAAGGAACCATCCTTTTCAGTTCGGCTTTCCGAATTCCCCCGAGGCTTTTCGTCGTCATGCTTCAATGGGTGGATCTCAGCTTCTAATTCTTTGTCCATCGTGTGGGCATTATACAGCTTCACTCCTGGTCATGATCATTAATAAATAAAATCACTAATAAATCAGAATTAGCTATATTATCAACAAACAAAGGGCTTAGCATACAACCTTTTGGGTTACTAAGATTTGGGTCCATTTAGGGACAAAGGCCTTTTCTTATATCCACGAGATCAAAGGTATGAGTTGAAAGGGCAAGTCCTACAAGGTTCCATCTAGAAGGTTTTAATATTGATTACAAAGGAGCTGAACCAGGGGCTCTAAAATAACCCTCTGTTACCATTAAGGCTCTTCTGTCCTATTCAACAGATTGAGCAAACCCTACAAAATTAAAAAACAAAAAAACAGAAACCCACCCAAAGGCTAAATAATAACAAAGTAATTCTAGTCTCATTGTCTTGGCACATAGACCTAGTAAGGGGATGGGACAGCAGGAGTTATCAAAAAACCCCTAGGCCTACCTACCCAAAATTAAGAATGGGAGGGGAAATGAAACAAAGTTCATCTGATATTTGAGAGAACCAGAAATTTTTAAGGTTAAGATGCAGGGGATGAGGATGTGCAAGGTAGGAGTCAAGGAAGAGAGAGAATAGCAGTGGTTCACATTTATATAGCCCTTTACAGTTGCAAGGGCATCTAGGTAGCACAGTGGATAGAGCACAGGGCCAAGAGTCAGGAAGATCTTAGTTCAAAAATACGGCCTCAGACACTAGCTGTGTGACCCTTGGCAAGTCACTTAACCCTGTTTGCTTCAGTTTTCTCATCTGTAAAATGAATTGGAGAAGGAAATGGCAAATCACTTCAGTATTTCTGCGAAGAAAACTGCAAATGAGGTCACAAAAGAGTTGGACACAACTGAAATGACTAAACAATAACAAAACAAATTAGAGTTGTAAAGTATTTTATATATACATTATATTATTTTGGAGAAGTTCAGAATTCAAAGATACTTCACAGTCCAAACTGTACCCAGACAGAAATCCCCTTTTATATCATCGCTGACAAGCTGTCAGCCAGATTCTGTCTAAAGTCTTCGAGTAATACAACCCAGAAATCTATGAGGCAGCTTATTCCAAAACTTTTGGGTGGCTCTATTTGGAATTTTCTTAAAGTCAAAATTGGCTTCTCTACAGCTCTACAGTGACTAAATGTCGCTCATTTCACTTTCTTGTATCTCAGACTGCTGTAACTGGAGTGATATGAAGAAGATACATCTAATTACATTTAGTGAGCATTTCCCCACTCTCTATTCGGTACCCCAAAACTTAAGATAGTCTTTTATGTTGTGATTCTCAGGACAAGGGAAGTAGGCTGCAAATATTTCCCATTTAGAGAGAAGGAAACCAAAGCTCAGAGAAGCTAACTCCAAGATCATACTAGTAAACGGCAATCAGGACTTGAACATAGGTCTTTTACTCCAAGTACAATGCTCTACCCACCAGATTACTATTACTGAAAACAGTAACAAAAACCCAGGAACAAATTCCTGAAGTTCACAAGTTTAAAACAAGTCAAGTTTTGGGAAAATGACCATGCGGTATGTCTTCTTGGACATACAAAGAATCCAGGCAGCGAAGCTAAAAATAAAATGTGGGGTTGGGATTTTCATATTGATTCACCGATGGTGGAACTGTGAATTAATCTAAATTATTTTGGAAAACAATTTAGGATTATGCAAAAAAAGTTATAAAGTTGTACCTTTAATCTAGTGATCCTATTATTGGGTTTATATCCCAAGAAGGTCACTGACATTAAGAAAAGTCTCATCTATACAAAAACATTCGACAGCAAGGTCTCAGAATAGAAAATGCAATATACCTTTCTCCTTATAATGGAGTGTTGGGGGAAAAAGGAGAAGAGAGAGTACTGAGGTAGATAGAATGTTACATACATTGTCAGACTAAGTCCCCATAATGAACGTTTTTGCTGAATTGTTTTTCTTTGTCACAATGGAGGGTTCAATGTAGCAGGGAAGGAATTTCTTCCTCCCTAAAATGACTATGACATAAAAACAAACAGCATCATTACATGTTATTTAAAAGAAGAAAAAAAAAATCATAGCAACATACACATAAGCACAAAGTTGGAAATATAAGTGTGAGTGCCCAAAGACTGGGAAATGGCTGAGTGAAAATGGCATCTGAATGTAATGAAATATCATACTATAAAGAATTAATATTATGAACTAACAGAATGATGGAAGCATTTGTTTGAAATGATGCAGAATAAAAGAAAGCATATCCAAAATAATATATACAATGGGGGGGGGCAGAGCAGCTAGGTGGCACAGTGGATGGAGCACCGGCCCTCGAGTCAGGAGGACCTGAGTTCAAATCCAGCCTCAGACACATAACACTTACTAGCTGTGTGACTCTGGGCAATTGGGCAACCCCAACTGCCTCACCAAAAAAACCCCAAAACAAACAAACAAAAAAGAACATATACAACGTCTACAACTAAATAAATTAATACAACTTTACACAGCAACAAAACTCAGATCAAAAAGGTAGAGGGGAGCAGATAGAGCTCTGGACTTGGAGAATCGAGATCTGTGTTCAAATTCCTTCCCTGACACTAGCTGTGTGATCCTAAGCAGTCTCTCAGTGCCCCAGTTTCCTGTAAAATGAAGAGGTTGGACTTGATGACATCTAAAGTTCTCTCCACTTCTGAATCTGTGTTCCTATAAAAATGGATTACATTGTCACCAAGACATTAAAGCTGAAAGGGCTGTGGATGCTTCAAGGAATGGCAAGCCATTCAAATGAAAGGTTCGATCAGCAGCAATCACTCTCATGTGCTGTTTTGCCTAACAAGTTTCCCAAGATTGTACTTTATAGAGGATTAACTGGGAGTTTTGTGGTGTATGTATGATGTGAGAAACCAAGAAATTTATGAATAAAAAACAAGTTTGGCCTTCCTCTTTCATGCTCACGAGTTCATATGCGTTTATGGAACAGGAAATGGGGTGGAAGAGGCAGATGGGAATGAAAGGCACTAGTGTGATGGAACCAGGGAAAGCTCCTGGTGAAGCAGATCCAAAGAGAACGGAAGTCAAGCCTAACAGCTTTAAGGGCATGTGTTCAAGCAGCCTACGCACCCATCCTCAGTACCTACAATACTTCTCTCCTGCCTTTGTGCTTGGGGATCCTTACCTTCCCCTTTCACAGATAAGCTCAAATACTTTCTGACAGAGGCCTCTCTTTATCTCCCAAATGTGCTGCCTCTACATTTACTTTGTATACACTATTTTGCACTTACTTATCTGAATAAGTTATTTCCCTGCCTCCCCCAGAATGTAAGCTCCTTGAGGGCAGGGACTTTTCATTTTTGTCTTTGACTCCCCCATGCCTAATTGAATTCCTAACTATAGGCCAGTGAAACTGAATTTGATTCCTGGCAAAATTCTGGAGCATAATTACTAAAGAGATGGTGATGGTTAGTGAATATCTGAAAAAAGAAGTGGTTATCATGATAGGCCAGCAGAATTTCATCAAGAACAGACCATCCTAAAATAATATTGATGGTGTGCTTGTGCTTGTCCTTGGACCCCAATTTCTCTCTAGTCTCAGAAACACTGTCTCTGACAGTTTTCCCCCAGCCAAGGACATTATGCCTAGCAATTACTCATGAGTGGGCCTCAGCAAAACACCTCTCTCTCCCTGGTGCAGTTACACAAAGCTGGGTGAGAGAATGCTGGGCTGCCCCCAGCCCTAAGATCATGTCTCAGGAAACCTTCCAATTCCTTAGAAAGCTCCTGTCTTGTGAGAAAACTTTCCCTTGTTGCAGAGCATTCTCTAATCACGACAGAGAGAGAGGGGTGTCTTCTCTGGCCCAAGGAGTTTTGTCCCTGGCTGGCCCAGGGACTATTCCTCCTGTCAGATTCCCAAGATCCATGCCTCTGACACCTCCCTCCCTTGTCTGGTATACTCCTTACACTTTCCCATCCATAGCTCCCAAAGACAGCTGGACCTTTAGATTACCTAATCAGTATCCCTGGCATTCCTTTCCCATGCCCTTTTCCATATAAACCCTAGCTCCATCCTCAGTCTCTCACAGGTTCCTTAAGAAATCTTTGCCCGCTGAAAATCATAATAATAAACTTTTTTGCCAACTTCACTTAAAGAACACTTGAGTCTGTGAATTCATTCTAGACGACCCTGTCCTGTACTCCAGTCTTTGAGGGGTCTCAACCTTTCAGATCGCAACAATACTACTTCCTTTTTTGACACTATTCCTAGATTTCTTTCAACAGATTCCCCTAAACCAAGGGACTATACCATAAATACTGTTTACCTATATTTTGGTAAAACATTTGAGAAGTTTTTCATCCTACCTGGACAGAAAAAGTAGAGAAATGTGGGCTAGAAAATATTATGTACAATTAGGTACAGATGGAAGTTTTTCAACAGCAAGACCCAAAGCACAGTCCTTAATCATTTGATATTGTGGCGGGTGAAAGATGAAATGACTGAGGAAAAAAAAGGTTCGATCTTCGGAGCATTTTGATTTATTAAGCAATGTGTTCCAATTGCCTAACAAACCAGAACCAGACCTCCTCAGCTTAGGCCTGGACCTTGAATACAGGGGGGATAAACTTTTATACATTAACAATTAATCAAAAGAAAACAATACTAATTGAAGGAAATATTAGGGACTACGTTGGGAGTAGGAGGGTGAACAGGTACAATTCCCTTAATTCAGAAAAACCATTCCCACTCTCCCCAAGCTTCTGTAAACAATCAAAGGAACATGGAAATAATAGCTGACTGTCAGCGAAGGGCCAGTTTTCGGATAAGACATGGGTTGCTTGAGATGTACAATTGTGAGAAAAATCCTTGCATCAATCTTTGGATCTGACTGCGTTTCTGGTCAGTATAACTTAGGTCCTTGGTTAAGAGTCTCTACACAGTAGATAGAGGTGGTCAAGTTTCCCACCAACCCAGAACTAGGTTCAAACAATGCAATATGGTTTTCTCCCAATTCCCAAAATTGAATGTTATCTCACAAAACAGAAACTAGACTAGACCC